GGCGCCGCTACTGCAGACGCTACTACTTCGCTCTCTTTCACGCTCGACTCTGGCACGTCTGCATGTTTCCTCCGTGACCACACTTCGCTCACGCCGCTTGCTACCCCTGCCGCTGTAGCACTTGCTGACCTCTCCTTAAGTCTGGTAGTCTAACGTAGCTCCATTACCCTTCCCTGTCCGGCGGTCACCTCGGGCTCTCTTACAGGCTTGCACATTCCCTCGTTCTCCAGGAACCTAGTCGGTGTCGGCTGTCTTCAGGACCTCGGCATCACGACTACGTTCCCTGGACACGAGCGGTACGTTGTATGTACCGAGGCCTCCACTGGTACCCCTCTTACCACGTTCCCCCGGGACCTTGTGTCTAGCCAATTCACGCTGGACATTGCGTCCCCCCCAGTGGGAGCGCCCCTCCAGGTCGCCGCGTCCACTCAGGTAGCTGCAGCCTGCTCGTGTCGGTTGCTCACTCACCCTTCACTGCTAAGGCACCACCGCCTAGGTCACCCCGCTCTCCCGCGTCTACGTCACATGTCCCATCACGGGCTGGTCCGTGGTCTCACTACGTCGCTTCCTGCCCTCCCTCCCTCGCCTGCTCTACCGTGCACGCCCTGCATCGAGGGCCGGCTGTGCTGTGCTCCCCACTCCTCCTCGCTCTCCCCTACCACTGCTCCAGTCTAGACTCTGCACCTGGACGTTTGGGGTCCCGCCCCTGTCCCAGGGCCGCGTCGCGAGCACTACTTTCTAATGCTTTTCGATGACTTCACGCGCTACACCACAGTGTTTCCCCTAGAGCGGAAGGCCGATGTGCTTAACGCCCTTATCTCGTAGGTCGTAGCTGCGCGAGTCCACCGCAGCCTCCCCTTGCTGCGTCTCCACTCCGACCGTGCCGGCGAGTTCGCCTCTGGTCGGCTTGACCAATTCTGTCGTGCGGAGGGCATTACCCAGTCGTACACCCTGCCGGACTCCCCACAACAGAATGGGGTCGCTGAGCGACGCATCGGTTTGGTCATGGAGGTCGCACGTACCTCCATGATCCATGCTGGTGCACCCCATTTTCTGTGGCCGTTCGTGGTGCGCTACGCCACTCACCTGTGGCCACACTCCCAACAACCGTAGGTTTTGCCGACCCTTCTCTGGATAGGGTTCCCTGGTGACGCGTCTGCGTTCTACGTCTGGGGATGCCTTGCTCACGTTCGTGCCTCTGGCACGGACAAGCTCACTGGACCGCCCAGCGCCCCTCTGCCTGTCTACGGTCCTATGTTTCCTCCGCCTAACTCGTCTCCAACTCGTTTTCCCCCGCGTCATCCTCCTGTGTCTCCTCTTATGTCTTCTGACCACACGCCTCCATCTCACTTCTGGTCTCGTCGTCCCTCTCGTGCTCGTCCTGTCTCTCCTATCCTGCGCTCTCACCCTGTGTTGCTTCGTTCCCACGCGTCTCGTCCTCCCCTCCTCCCATCGCCTCCTCCGTCGTCGCTGGCTGTCCCTCCGCCTCCCTTGTCTCACTTCCTCCGTGCTGCTAGTCCTCTTGTTCCTCGGGTCCTCGCATCTCTTCTTAGTAACCTGTCTGTTCCTCTCTCTAGTATTGACGCTCTTGTCGCTGCCGTCACGGACTTTGCCGCTACCCACAGCCTTGACAATGCCACAGCTGTGGTCTTTGACCCTGCCCGTCCTCCGTCCGTCGGGGGTGCACCTGCCCTTGGCAATGACGTCCTAGAGGACAGGCAGTTCGAGCTAGCTTTCCTGTCTGAGGTCGCGCCTCATCTATGCTCCATGCTGCTAGTACCTGAGGGGGATCCGGACGTCTTATACATCCCGACCCCTCGCACTTACGCTGAGGCGACCTCGGGACCCTGGGCCTCTCAGTGGATAGCTGTCATGGACGCAGAGATGGCATCTTGGAGATCCACTGGCACCTTTATTGACGCAGTTCCCCCACCTGGGGTGAACGTAGTCGATGGCCTATGGCTCTTCAAGGTGAAGCGCCCTCCTGGAGAGCCGCCGGTGTTCAAGGCGCACTACATTGCTAGAGGCTTCAGTCAGCGCGATAGTGTTGGCTTCATTCATACCTTTGCCCCGACCCCGAAGATGACCACTCTTCGGGCGTTGCTACACGTAGCAGCACAGTGTGACTACGAGCTGCACTCTCTCGACTATTCGACAGCGTTTCTTCAGGGCAGTCTGCACGAGCAGATCTACCTGCGTCGCCTGCCAGGCTTTACTGGAACCTTCGCCCCGGGGACCCAGTGGCTCCTCCGGCGCCCGGTTTTCGACCTGCGGTAGGCACCCCATGCGTGGCACGACATGTTGCATGCTACGTTAGGTGTCCTGCAGTTCTTCTTGTCGTTTGCAGACCCCTCGCTCTTCGTTTGTGCTGGCTAGACCCCGTTCTACATCCTTGTCTACGTAGATGACCTAGTTTTTGCTACTGCAGACAGAGACGCACTGGCCTCCGTGAAGGCTGAGCTGCTGAGGAGATACACAGGCACTGACCTAGGAGAGCTGCGCCACTACCTTGGCCTGCACATCTCCAGGAACAGAGCTGTGCGTACCATCACTCTCACACAGTCACACTTGGTGCGCCTGGTCCTTCAGAGGTTCGGTCTTCAGTTCTCCTCCGCATAGCCCACACCCCTGCCACTAGATCACAAGCTCTCGGCTCCAGTCCTTGAGGAGTTGTTAGAGCCTAGTGGTCTGTACGCAGAGCTGGTGGGTTGCCTCATGTACCTGATGACTTGCACTCGTGCAGATCTCGCATACCCTCTCAGCATCCTGGCTCGCTTTGTGGCCACAGGCAGACACCGACCACAGTACTGGTCGGCCGCTAAGAGGGTTTTCCGTTATCTAGCAAGTACAGCTGGCATGGGGCTAGTGCTAGGAGGATACAGGCCGGTAGTCCTTACAGGGCACACAGACGCTTCGTGGGCGGACGACACTGAGAAGCGCGGGCAGGGCTGACGTTTCAAAAAAAGGCACTCTGAGCCAACCCCCCCAAAAAAAAAAATAGTCTGAAGGGCCTTCAGCCGAAATTTTTGTAGTCTGAAATGTCAGGGTCCAGAACTCAGCGAGTCTGATTTTTTCAGGGTCCAGGACGTACAACCAGAGTCACACACGGGAAACACCCCCACAGCGAGAAACTTCCCTCCCTCCTACACCTCCCAAAAATTCGGCTAAGTCCCTTGCAGCCATAAAAAATCCTCCCACAGCCCGCGTCCCCCCCCAACCAGCAACCTTGTTATACCCTCGTTTTGCGTAGTTGTTAAATGTGGGAAACGGGGAAGTCATTCCTAAAAACCGAGGGGGTTAAATCGCACTGCCACGGAAAACGAAACTGAGGAGAGGGGGAATCGAAACGGACGGGGAAATGGGGAGGGAATCAAAATGGAGGGGAGGGGGGAAGCGAAACGAAGGGGAGGGGGGGGAAGGGGGGGGGCGGTCGAAACGGAGAGGATGGGGGAAGCGAAACGGAGAGGAAGGGGGAAGTGATTGAAACAGAGGGGAGGGGGGGGAATCGAAACGGCAGGGAGGGGGGAAGCTGGGGAATAGGACGGTGGGAGAAATTTCGCGCCCTTGCAGCGTCCCGGTGGGGAAATCTTGGACGTTAATCACAACATAACATCGAACGATTGATATATGTCAAAACGATCGCAAACGATCGTGACCGTTACATTTTGGTAGACTTTCAGTTGACCAAACGGGCAACTGGCGAGAATTTCCCTATGTTAAAAATGCGGAATTTACTCTCATTCCAATGCAGTTAAAAAAAAAAATGTGAAAGTCTCATTCAAAACTTCTGGGTTGTTCCAGGTGTTAGGGAGGACTGTATCTGACAACATGACTTAGTCGAAATTTATGGTGGGTTGTGGGGTGTGTGGGGGATGTCTCTAGTGTTCCGGGACTTCGCCGAAATTTTAGATGGGTTGTGGGGTGTGGGGTGGGGGTTGTCTCTAGGGTTCGGGGACTTGGCCAAAAAAATTTAGGGGTTGTGGGGTGTGTGGGGCATGTCTCTAGCGATTGGGGACTTCACCAAAATTTCCGAAGGTTGGTACTATACAGGTAATGAGTCAGGGTCTGTACGCGCTGTGCTCTGAAAACTCAGTACTGGGTTAGCGACAACTCTGATTTTCTCAGGATCCCTAGAATCGTACTCTGAAGGGATCAGGATTGGGAAAATGCCTTATCTGGAAATTCAGGTTTGGCCAAAAAACAGGTCTGAGATTTCAGACTAATCAGAGTAAATAGTCTGATAAAGTCAGCCCTGCGCTCGGGTCCTCCCAAAGCTACTGCTTTAGCCTTGTTGCAGGCGCTATCTCGTGGAGGTCAACGCGCTCGACGTCTGTTGCACAGTCTAGCTGTGAGGCTGAGATCTACGCTGATGCCATGGCGGCACAGGAGCTACGTTTGCCGACTTTCTTGCTCACGGATTTAGGTGAGCAGCATAGCTCTTCCCCAGCTTTGTACGCTAACAACAGGGTCATGATCCTCCTGTGTCAGGAGCCTCGACTGGAGGGCAGAGCGAAGCACATTCAGCTGCGGTACTTCCTCTTGCCCGAGCTACAGCAGCGACGCCATGCCCGCGTAGTTCACTTGCCCTTCGGTGCCAACGCAGCTAATATCTTTAGTAAGGCGCTTGCGCCTAAAGATCATCAGCGGCACTGTGTACAGCTTGGTCTAGTGCCAGTAGCTCATCACTTGCTAGGACCTTGATTGTGTACTACTCTTTTATATATTCTCCTGACTGACCTTGTGTCTTCTGTTCCAGCGGCCGGACTAGTAGTGCCGCCCTGGTTTGCTCTTATCTAGTTTTGTACTCTTCTGACTGGTCTTCGGACCCTTGCCCCAGAGGTTGTACTAGTAGTGCCTCCCTGGGTTGCGTGTCGCTTGCCAGGCACTGCCCCTTGTCTAGCCTAGGTGTGTCAACATATATTTATATATTGTTGGAGGCTAGATAGGTGCATGCTCATAAAGAGGACAGTACCATAGCACAAAACCTCCCTATATGCCTCATTCTAGTCATTGTGTTATTCTGAGAAACCTAACCAGGAAATCAAATCTACTGCACATAATGAATTGGTTTGCAGGAGAAAATATTGACCATGTATAGAAGAACACATTAATGAACTGCCAGAAAGACTAGTACCGTACCAGTACCGCAGAGCAGAGGTCAGCAGAGCATAGTAAGCCACGGCCGTTCCTTCCTGACCACCTTTCTAACCTCCTCCGTTGCTCCAAGCAGCCAGATCTCCCCCAAACGAGGCAATTTCTTCACCATCCTCCTCACACCGCCCTTTGTCAACCCACTGCCAGTACCGCTCGCCATAAGCAGGCTGCCACCACTTGTCGAGACCTGACTGCTACCGCTTGTTACACTGCTACCACCCGTTACACTGTCACCATCACTCGACACCCCAGTAACACCACCACCAGAGCAGCGCAGGCACTTCAAATTCGGAAAGAACTTGGCAACACACACCGCGCCTTCGTCTGTCAGCCGCCACCCGAACAGGCTGAGCCATGCCAGCTCATCCATAGGCCCCAGCGCCCTCACCCACCGGTCACCGGGTGGCGCAGAGGCAGAGGCAGAGTCACCCGCCCAACCCGCCCAAGCGAGGTTGAGAGTGTGTATCTGCTGCAGCTGGCGAATGTGGTACATGGACCGGCATGTGATGCGGGGGCAGTGGCGGAGGTCTAGTGAGGTGATCCCTGTGAGCTGGCACCAGAGGGCCATGCCCTGATCGCCCACCTGCGTCCTGCTGAGATTCAGCCTCCTCAGGTTTGTCAGATTCGCCAGGGTTGGAAGGTTTGTAGTAAGGTTTGGGAGGTTTCTGAGGTTTGGGAGGTTAGAAAGGGTCGGAAGGTTTGCAGTGCTCGTCACAGGGTGGACTGCTGCACTTGCATGGAACTTAAAGCCTGTGCAGCCGGCAAGGCAGAGGTGGGATAGGTGGGTGAGGCGAGCAATGTGGGGCAGATCAGAGTCTGCAAGGCGGGTGCAGCCGCTGAGGTCGAGCTTTCTAAGGGCTGGGAGCTGCAGGGAGATGGTTTGCTGCAGGCATGGAGTGGTCATGGAGGGGAAGGCTTTGACGGTGGAGATGGTGGAGAGGGATGGAGAGTGGTGGAGGGAGAGTGTGAGGAGGTGGAAGAGGAGGGTGTGGTAGGAGGGCGAGGGGAGTGCTGAGAGGTCCAGAGTGGTGAAGCCCTTGATGAGCTGCGTGCTGTGGAATGTGGCTAGAGACTGTAAGCCCTGGAGGAGGAGGGGAGGGGGGGGGGGGGGTGGGGAGTTTTGAAACGTCTTGAAACGAGGTCCAGAGTGGTGACGCTCTTAAAAAGCTGTGTTCTGTGGGAAGTGGCTAGCGATTGCAAGCCCTGGAGGGGGGGAGGGAGAAAAGGGTGGGAGGTGCAGGAGAAGACGAGGTTTGAGACGTCGCATAAAGGACGTCCAGAGTGGTGAAACCCGTGATGGGATGCGTGCTGTGGAACGAGGTCTAGAGTTTGCAAATCCTGGGAAGGGATGACGGAGAGAACAGAGGGTGGAAAGGATGAGATGCAAGGCGTGAATTGGGGTAGGGAGTGGAAGAGAAAAGCACTCGAGAGCGTTGAAAGTGGCATTGAGAGTACGGGAAGAGGTATTGGCAGCAGAGGGGAGCTAAACTCAAAGCATGGGAGAGATTTGAATACAGAGAAACGAGGAGGCACATGGTGTGAAGGAGGCTTTAAGGGGGAAATTGAGAGGCTTGGTGAGTGTGGCAAGAGATGTGGACAATGCAGAGGAAGAAGGCACGCAGCGCGCAGAGTCGGAGATGGATCTTATAGAGCAGTGCTGGACAGGTGAGAAGGCAGAGGGCCATGGCAGGTAATGATTGGGAAAGACAATGAGATCGACGCAACTCGCATGAATAAGGAGATGAAGGAAGGAGGATGAACACCGGGTACATAGTCAGAGACCGGGGGGGTTTTTTTCAAGTTGAAGATGAGGGTTCAAGTGGAGGAATGGCACCTTCTCTATTCTCTGGACCTTGGCGACTTGCTGCCACAGCTGCGCATCCATCGCCTTCATTCTTCTCTTTACGCCTATCAAGCTGTCACCATTATTCCGCCTAGTCGCCTTCACTACATGGCAGTGGCATTCTAGCGGCTGCAGCTGCCGTTGCTGCTGCGTTTGCTGTTCCTGTTGCTGGTGGCACAACGCATTTCCCTTGGCCAGGAAAATCATCTCTTTGTTGTCTCCTCGTTCTGTCAGTTTCATTCTCACGCCTTCCACGAGCCCTCTGATTCCCTCGACACTCTCCTCCAGTCTCTGCAGATGCTCCTCTGCCTCCTGCACCCGATCCACCGCATCCATCCTCGCTATAAGCTCGTGAACCTTGTTCGTTATAGACTCCTCCACCTCCTGCACCTCCTGTGTCAGCTCTATCAGCACATCTACCACGCCTTGCGTTTCTGGCATTTTTTACACTGTAAACGAAAATCAAGGGCAGCTTCCACTGAGAATAGCCAGGCTTGGAGAGCTGAAAATCAAGCAGTGTGTGTCTCACGCCGAAGCAATGCGGATCAGCATTTGAGTCGACTCAAAATCAGCAACAGCATGTCAGCAGCGAACAGATCATTGCTGGAGCTTGCGATTCCAGTCACGGCAGAAATAGAAACGCATGCTTCTGTTCTCAAACCGCGCGCTGCTGCTGACGGAAAATAGAATCACTGTTCGCTTTCATCGAATGTTAAAAGGTTAATCGCAGTTACGTATCGTGACGTCGAGGCCGATTATAACTTCTTGAAGCTGCTTCCAGGAACTTATCGAGGTCTAAAGACCAGAGTAGTGCGGTCTACCACAAAAAAGTTGCCTGAGTCCTGCTTGGGCACGACCTGACGGCCTCCTACCCCAATTACGGTTTATCCTGGACTGATGGTCTGGACTGGAGACCCCTGAGTGACCATAGCAACACAACAATCAGGCCATAACAATTACAGTGCTTGAGCCACTTCTAACGTCGAGGACCCGCAGACCATCCGATCAAGGGCCTAGGGATGGTCTCCGTGATTCGTGATCGTTGGATGCTTCATCTCCTGTATTAGACCCAGACTGCAGCTTCCGAAAATCGAAATTCCCAAGAGGTGGGGCTGACGAATCGGCGATCGCGTACGAGAGCGACCCGAGTTGTTACCATGTTCGACTCATGGGGTGATTCGTGAGGCAGTGGGTAGGATAGCCTCACAGATACGTTCCTTGCGGTTATAAACGTTTTAGAAGGTTTCTGTGCGTTAGGATGCAGTGACTTCATGACACAACAGTCGTTCAATGTTCCCAAACAGGTTTACCCGTTATTGGTTGACTCATCATTCAAACAGATTCAATTTAACACATGCGTAATTATTGCAATGCCAGTATGCTAGATTACATCAACATAAATCATCCTCGTTGTCGGATTCTTCATGCCAGCTCATGCTGCGTCAGCTATGCACGTGATGATTGTCGTGGAAAGAGCGAGATCACACGTGCATGCAGCCTCTAAACAAGGAGATGACTGCCTGTGCCAGCGTGTAACTTGGCTAATCCACATTGGATAGCGTGGAGTTGACGCAGCTTTGGTCCCCCGAAGCGGAATCGCTGTTCAGTCAACATGGGGAGTTTGCGGAGAGAGAAGTGTGTCTGCGCGCAGCCTTGCTTGTGCTTCGTTTCAGCAGTCACCTTGCTCCCACCACCACCTAGCGTTGTTGGTAACCAACAATTCGCCATCAGGCGAAGAAAGTGGGGAAGGGGGGAAGCGGGGAGGGGTGGTTTGGCTGGAGGCACACCACTGAGACTGCTGCGCGCAAGACTCTCCGCGCCGCCCAACCGAGTGCCCCCCAACAGTGACCCCGTGGCGTGCGCGCCTGCTCCTCCCCCTAACGGCAAGCACGCGGCGTGGCCGAGCTACGGGAGGACGAGTGACGCGAGGGGGCGTGCTCTGCCCTGCTCACGCAATTTCCCGCCGCTCCGCTCTGCCTCTGTTCTGCAGCTGCAGCTTTCCATGAGTGCTGGTGCCAGGTCACACAGTCGGGGTCGAGTGCTGTGCTCTGCTCCACGCACATCGTACCTCCACAGCAGAACCAACAATGGTTTCCCTCCTGGCCTGCCCTCAATTCTCATAAAGCCTCCCGTTTCTTGCTTCTGCTGCTGGTCAAGTGAGAGAACAGGCATTTCTTTCTCGCCGTTGCAGTCACACCGTGAGAAACAGTTTCATTTACCTCTTAGTCGACTAGTTCGAAACCGCGCAGTTAAAATCCCTCTCCCAACCTTATTTCCATCGACATCCTACTATGGCCATGGCGTTGCGCCTTCAATCATCGATTCAGACGGCGAGCATCAGAGTACCCGTCACACTCCACTCTCCCTCGCCGAGACTAAACCTAGCGAATTCCTTTCTCCCGCCTCTGTCTCCCCGCTTCTCTCGCCAATGCTCCGACGCGCGCGATTCGCGGCGAGATTCACGGCAAGATTCACGGAAGGAGAGTGCTGGCGGCGCGAGAACAGCGGCGCGGATGCAGTTCGGCGAGTTTGGCGAGTTCGAGCACGTCGAGTCGGCTTTCGACTTCGCTGACGAGGAGTTCGCGCGCGCCACAGTGCTTGAAGCGAGTGAGTCTACAACGCGTATAGTGTTCGCGGCGCTTGGTGCCTTGCTGAAGAAAGGCTTTACAAGCACTTGCTCCCTGTTTAGTCGCGCAACGAGTGTGACCGACGCTGTTCTCTTCAGGCGCGCGCACAGCCTCATGGGCTCCCCCCCCCCCCAACCTCCGCCTCCCCCCAACCTCTGTCTCTACCCGCCTCCGCCTCTCCCATAACCTCCGCCTCTCCCCGCTCCCCTCTGGTCGGAATGCGCCGGCGCCATTCCCACCCCTTCCCCTCCCCTTCCCCTCCCCTTCCCATCCCCTTCCCCTCCCCTTCCCCTCCCCTTCCCATCTGTGCAGCGAGTGTGAGCAGAAGCGGGGTCGTGCTTTTAATCTCGGGTGTGACGGACGGCATCTCGGTCCAGTGCGCGCACAACCTCATGGACGCCCCTTCTTTCTCTCCCTCCGTCGCCCTCCGTCGCCCTCCGTCGCTCGTCCTCCCCTTCCTTTTGCGCAGCGAGTGTTAGCAGAGGTGACTTTTGAGTCGACTCAAAAGTCACCGCGGCGATGCACTGCCAGTGTGCATGGCGGACGGCATCTCGTTCAAGTGTGCGCACGATCTCATGGGCGGAGTCACGGGGCACAACTGCCCACATTCCTCACCCCTCCACCCCTCCTCCACCCTCCCCCCCCTCCCCCTCCCATCCCTCTCCCCCCCCCCCCCCCCCCCATTCCCCCGCCTACTGTGCAGCGAGTGTGAGCAGCAGCGGTGGCGCGCGTTTAATCGGCATGACGGACGGAACGCCCCTTCCTTCTCTCCGTCCGTAGCCCACTCTCCCTCCCCCCCCCCTCCCCCGCCTTCCCTCCCGCCTCCCCTTCCCCGCCTACTGTGCAGCGAGTGTGAGCAGCAGCGGCGACGCGCTTTTGATCGGCATGACGGACGGCATCTCGTTCAAGTGCGCGCACAACCTCATGGACGGCGTGCGGCTCCCCGAGTACCCCGCGCAGCCCGCTGCAGTGCTAAAACTCGAAGACGGCACGCGCATATTGCTCCCTATTCTCATCCGTGAGTCCTGTACTTGCGGCTTTGCAATCGGTCTATAACGAATCTCAATGTCCGCGCACAACCTCATGGGCGGCGTGCGGCTCCCCGAGTACTCGCGCAGCCCGTCGCCGTTTTGAAGCTCGAAGACGGCACGCGCATCCTGCTCCCCATCCTCATCCGTGAGTCTTGTACTTGAGTTCTAGGAGCACTCTATATCGGAACTTTTTCTGCCTCACAACCTCATGGGCGGCGTGCGACTCCCCGAGTACCTGGTCCAGCCTGCTGCCGAGCCCGAACTCGGAAACTGCCCTCGCGTCTCCCTCCTCGTCGCGTCCTGTTTTTGAGGCGCCTCACAAACAGACTCGAGTACTGCCCTCGCGTCTCTCTCTTCGTCGCGTCCTGCTCCCCATCCTCATCCATCAGTCCTCCTCCAAGACTTTTGCCAGTCTTTTTGAGTCGCCTCAAAAAAAGACTTGTGCCAGTCTTTGCATCGAGCACAAGCAGTGGTTGTGACACCACCTCCTGGGGTTAAGCTCCCCAACTTCTAGGTGTCAAAAAGGTTTTATTTTGAGACGTCTCAAAACTACACTAGCTCCTCGCTGAATTCCTCTGACCCACCACTCGTGTTCTTATCAAGATCTCCCTTCCTCCCCCCTTCCCCCGTTCCCCCCTTTCCCCCTTCCCCCCTTCCCCCCTTCCCCCGTTTCCCCCTTTCCCCGCTTCCCCCGTTTCCCCCTTCCCCCCTTCCCCCCTTCCCCCCTTCCCCCGTTTCCCCCTTTCCGTTACTCCACTGCAGCGCACCTGTCCAGCCAAATGCTCATTGACTCGGTGCGCGGGGTGCCGCTGGTGAGTAGAGGCTGCTTTGAGTGACCGTAAAGGGTCTGATAATAACGAGTTGTTCGTTGCTAGTGTTAATAGACTTGAGAGTGCTTATAGTGTTGGGAGTGCTTATGGCGAGGCCGAAAGTCCTTTGTGAGCTTACGCTGCCTGTGTTGACTGAACAAGATGTGACATTTGTGAGTGCTCTGACGTCTATAAGAGGCGTGATTATAACGAGTCGAGAGTTGACGGTTGTGCATCCCTGACGTGGCAGTCATTGGCAGTTTGGTCCTCAATCGGTACCCTCTCATACCCATGATTGGTTGTGCTGTGTTGTGCTGACGTGGCAGGCTCGGCCAACGGTGTACATGCTAATGCGAGATATGATTGAATTGATGGGATATGAGGTGAGACGATGGGGTATGAGGTGAGACGATGGGGTATGAGGTGAGACGATGGGGTATGAGGTGAGACGATGGGATATGAGGTGAGACGATGGGATATGAGGTGAGACGATGGGATATGAGGTGAGACGATGGGATATGAGGTGAGACGATGGGATATGAGGTGAGACGATGGGATATGAGGTGAGACGATGGGATATGAGGTGAGACGATGGGATATGAGGTGAGACGATGGGATATGAGGTGAGACGATGGGATATGAGGTGAGACGATGGGATATGAGGTGAGACGATGGGATATGAGGTGAGACGATGGGATATGAGGTGAGACGATGGGATATGAGGTGAGACGATGGGATATGAGGTGAGACGATGGGATATGAGGTGAGACGATGGGATATGAGGTGAGACGATGGGATATGAGGTGAGACGATGGGATATGAGGTGAGACGATGGGATATGAGGTGAGACGATGGGATATGAGGTGAGACGATTAGATTTGGGGTTAACAATGATCGTTCATATGTCATGGGAGAGTCATCCTGAACCCGTATACCTGCTGCTTTTGGTTTTTGAAACCCTAGCATCTATACTTTCTAGGTGCTTATTATTCTGCCAGCCTGCTTGTGCACCCGGCCACCTGACCACACCTCTCCCGGTCGGCAGATCAGTCTGCTTTTGAGTCGACTCAAAAGCAGTTCGCATCACCCATCGAGACATGGACGCCTATTGCGACGTTAAAACCCCGACCCTCCCCATCTCCCTTTCTACCTTTTTGCCTCTCTGCCCCACTCTCTGCCCCTCTCTGCCCCTCTCTACACCTCTCTGCCGCTCTCTGCCCCTCTCTACCCCTCTCTACCCTCTTTACCCCTCTCTGCCGCTCTCTCTACCCACCTTCCTGCCTGCAGATCAGTCTGGTTCGCATCACCCATCGAGAAAGGGACGCCTATTGCGCTCGAGCCTACCTCTCCAAGGTTAGTCTCCATGTCTCCATGTCTCCGTAGCTGTATCCGTCTCCTTTCAGTTTGCCACCTTCCTTCCATCACCCACCCTTTGGGATGCTGACGCCTACTGTGCCCAGCCCAGGCATATATTTTTTAAGGTAAGTCCGAATGGTAATTCGGGACCGCACCATGCATGTATCCCTCCATATCCCCTCTCCTTACAATCATCTTTCCATCGCCCATCGTAATGGCGGTGCCTACTACGCCCGTGCCTCTCTCCTCTCTCTCCAAGATTGGACTCTCTGGTCTGGTGAAGGTTACCCACTCGTCCAAGGTTCCACATCCCCCCAATACTTAGGGTGCTTTTTTATTTCCTTTTGAAAGTTCCAGCCTTTTTAAACACTGCTTTTCTGTGTCTCTTTTCCAACCCTCCATGTTACCAACCCCAGGTGTCAGCAGACAGCAGCACAGCCAACAGCAGCAGCAGCGGCCCTGCTATGATGAGTCTCGACATGCGGCCATCCGATGCCATCAACCTCGCTGCACGCACCAAGGTGAGTGGTTGTCCAAGGGGTGTAGTGCGGCGGCACAAGCAGCAAGGGCATGGCAAGAACTCGAACCAGGGGCGGAAACAGGGCAGGGGCAGGGGCAGCGAGAGGGATATGGATAGGGATAGGCAGGGAGAGGGATATGGATATGGATAGAGATAGGTATATGGATAGGGATAGAGATAGGTATATGGATAGGGATAGAGATAGGTATATGGATAGGGATAGAGATAGGTATATGGATAGGGATAGAGATAGGTATATGGATAGGGATAGAGATAGGGATAGACCTTGTTTCACAGCTATGACTTTCATGCTGCGTCTCCATTCTTTCAGGTGCTAACTCAGGTGTGTCTCTGTTGTTTCAGGTGCCAATTCAGGTGCGCAAGTCCCTGGCGGTGGCGGACGGCGTGCGGATAGTGGGCATGGTGCGGGCGGCAGTGACCCCTGGGCATGGCGGCCGGCTACTCAGAAGGCAACAGAAACTGGTGCTGACGTCAGAGGACAAGTGAGTGGGTGGTGCTTAGTCTGTGAGAAGCGAGAGTGTAAGAAGCAACTTTGGCCAATGCTGGCCTGGGGGCGCTAACGGGTCAGTTTGCTTGGCGCTGGATAAGTCAGTCTCGGTTGTTTGGACGGGCGGAGTTGAGCGCGAAGCGGTACAGCAAGCCAACCCCCCCTTACCCTCACTTCCTGTGCTCGTTCTTCATTCCTTAGCCTGCAGGCCTGATTTGGATGACCTATACCCTGCGGATGAGTTCGCGTTGGTGTGGCTCATGGAGGAGGCAGCTGCGCATGAGCGGTATGGGGATGCTTGCGAGTTCTAACAGTCCCCCCCCCCCCTCCCCCCCTCCCCCCCTCCCCCCATCCCCCTGTCCCCGTTGCACTCCTTTGTCCGCAGGCCTGACCTCGATGACCTATCACTGGCAGACGAGTTTGCCCTGGTAAGGCTCATGGACGAGGCTGCTGCGCACGAGCGGTACGGTGATGCGGCTAAGATCAAGGACCAGCTGACGAAGCTGAGACGGAAAGCCAACAAGGTGAGAGGCACGCTGAGCGGGCATTTTAGGGAGTACTGTGGCTTTTGATTGGGGAACTTGTTTGGATACTCAGCACGAGCGGTACGGCGATGCGGATAAGATCAACTGATGAAGCTGAGACGAAAAGCCAACAAGGTGAGAGGTAGGGGGCTTCTTGAGGGTATCTTGAGATTTCAAATGTGGGCTTATTTAGATATTCTGTGCAAGGGGTACGCTGATGCGGCTGAGATCAAATATCACCTCACCAGGCTTTTGAGATAAGCCACTGCAAGACACCTATTGACTTGCTTTTTGAGACGTGCAGCGAAGAGGAGTGAGTAGGGTGCACGCAATGCAAATGCCTTGTTTATGAGTGCGTGCCGGGCCATGCTTCTCTTGAATTATTCAACCTTCCATTCTTGTTTCTCACTTCACCGCAGGTACTATAATGCAGCTGTCCTTGCCATTTGCGGCAGCAGTAGGAGCAGCAGCAGCAGCAGCAGCAGCAGCAGCAGTACAGTAGTATACGAAGATGGGGGGTGCGCCCCACCCTCTGTACATTAGGGGTCACCTCTCACGATCAGTCCACCACTTACAGTAGTTTGAACACGCTTTTACGGTGCCTTTTTTTATCAAGCAACGTCCTGTTTTTGTGTGCCTTGCCTTCTTTCCAAAAGTGCAAAATAATGTATAGTGCTTATATGTCACACTTGCTTGTGTCAAAAGTGTGTATATATGTTTTTCTATAGCCTTCAAAAGAGGTGAGGACTGAAAATCAAAGCCAATCCCAACCATTTTGGAGGGTTCACAACACACCTGATTTTGGTGATAATGGTGGTAAAAAGAATGGTTCTTATGAAAATTGGCGGACAGCACTGTATACTCGCCAAAGCGAGGCTCCACTACTAGTTCTAGAAGGTTCGGCTCCCACTCATGATTCCCATTACCTTTCAACAGGCTGTGACTCAGAAGCACCTAGACTCGACGAGCCACGGAGAGTCCGTGACATTAGTTGTTCCCACCGCTAACATCCACTTGTCTGCTGTTTCACACCGTCTACCTCTCGTCGCCTACGGTCGTCCAGCCGCTTAGTCGCATACCGCCGTCGCTTAGTCGCATACCGCCGTCGCTCAGTCGCGTACCGCCGTCGCTCTGTCGCATAGTAGCGCGGTCGCTCATTCGCAGACCGTCGTCGCGTTCTGCTCGTCTGCTTTTCGCCCGACATCCCTGCCGCCCCGTTGAGCATGGGAAGAGCGTAGCAGGCGGCAAGGCAGATTGTGAAATTTATAAGAGTTCATCACAAGTCAGCGTGCGGCGCGCCAAGGCACCTTTAGTAGCACAAGTGCGTTTTGCGCCCTAGAACTAAAGTTCGGAGGTGCCATAAAGCCCAGAATTAGGTATGGGTAGGCTGAGGTAGGATTGTGTGGTGCATTGAACTGCAGAGGCGTGAAGTTCATGCGCCATATTTTGTGGTGGAGTGAAGCCTGCAAGTAGAGCATGCTGGCGTTCACGCATGCGGGTGTGCTCGTAGCAGCTTAGCTCACGAGAAGGCTGATTAGCAACTGCAGCGGCAGCAGCTGCAGTACCAGGAGGAAAAACAGCGCCAACAGCAGCAGAGCAACATCATCATCAGCAGCAGCAGCTGTTGTAGTAGCAGCAGCGGTGCCAGCACAAGCAGCAGCAGCAGCAGCAGCAGCAGCAGCAGCAACAGGTGGTGCCATGTCAGATAGACTTGCCCCGGACAAGCGGTTCAAGTTCGTTCACAATGGTGAGATGAAACGGTTCAAGTTCGTTCACAATGGTGAGACGAAACGGTCAAGTCACAATGGTGACATGAAACGATCAAGTTTGTTCACAATGGTGACATGAAACGGTTCATGTTTGTTCACAACAGTGAGATGAAACGGTTCAAGTTTGTTCACACTGATGAGATGAAACGTCTGACGATCACAATGGCACGATTTAGCCTTCGGCTAAAGTTTCTATCCCACAGGCCACTCGCTCTATGAGTGGGGCGCGCCAGCTGATGGGTGTGATGGAGAATGACTGCATGTTCCCCTCATTGCGCAGCGTGCTCTTGAGAATTCTAAAGAGCACCGTCGTCGTCCTAAAGTGCAGCATGTTTGCCTCTTCTTTCTCTCCGTCGTCTCTCCTCCGTTTCTTTCTCCCTCTCACCTCTCCCTTCTGTTTCCACTTCCACAGGCCACACGGCTTACGAGTCGGACCAGTTTTGAGGCGCCTCAAAACTAGACTTCCACAGGCCACACGGCTTACGAGTCGGACCAGTTTTGAGGCGCCTCAAAACTAGACTTCCACAGGCCACACGGTTTACGAGTCGCACCAGTTTTGAGGCGCCTCAAAACTAGACTTCCACAGGCCACACGGTTTACGAGTCGCACCAGTTTTGAGGCGCCTCAAAACAAGACTTCCACAGGCCACACGGTTTACGAGTCGCACCAGTTTTGAGGCGCCTCAAAACTAGACTTCCACAGGCCACACAGTTTACGAGTCGGACCAGACGGTTCATGAGAATCGAGATGGCGATTTGCTGTTCTTTCCCCCTCTCTTTCTCCCTGCCATCTCTCCCTTGTTTCCTTTCCTCTCTCAATTCCTTCTCCTCTCTCCCTTGTTTCCTTCTCCTCTCTTCCTTGTCCGCACAGCCCACACAGTCCACGAGTGGGACCAGATGGGTTATCTTATCAGAACAGAGAGTCCCATGCGTTTCCCTCTCCTTTCTCTTTTTTTCCACCCGACAGGCCACGCGGTCTATGCTTGGGATCAGACAGGTTGCCGTGTGCAGGACAAAGAGTCAAAGAGTCTCGTGCGTTTTCGTCTCCTCCTTTTGCCTTTTCTTTTGACTTGCACAGGCCACACTGTCTATGAGTGGGACCAGACGGTTGATGAGATGGAGATTTTCGTTCCGCTGCCCGAAGGAGTGCCCGCAAAACTGTTCACATGCCAAATAGCGCAACGGCACATCACTGTCAGCATCAAGGGCAACCCGCCTTATCTAGATGTATGCCTTTTACCCTACCATGGGGTAGCAGCATGCTGTCAGTTGTTTTTGAGAAATTTCAGAATGTGCTTTCTACCCTAGCATGCAGTACCAGCATGTTGTGTGATATCACTGTAGTGACCAGGCAAAGAAATTTGAGATGCCCTTATGCTTGACTCCGTTCTTCTCCTATCTTGTCCTCTTCTTCCCTCTTCCTTCTCCATCCTCTTTTCTCTTCCTCCTCTCCTGTCTTCCCACTTTCTCTTCTCCTCCCTCCCCTCCTCCTCCTCTCTCCTCTCCTCTGGCCCTCCCCTCTCCCCTTTATCTCTATTGTCTCATTCGATTCCTTGTTTCCCTTCTCTCCTCTTCCCTCCTCTCTTGAGGCGCCTCAAAAGTCGATTCCCTGTGTCCCTTCTCTTCTCTCCCCTCCTCTCTTCCTCATGCCAGCACGACTTAGCTGGACCAGTGAAGGTCGACGACAGTTTCTGGACTATTGGTGAGTTGCAGAGGCACATGCTTGTGGTGGTGGTGTGGCAGCACCTGCGCTCTCCGTTGCTGGCATGTGTGTCTGTATCGACCAGCACGACTTGTGAAGGTAGACAGCAGCTTCTGGACTATCGGGGAGTGTGTGTGTGGGAGTGAGCAGCATCTGCACTCTCCCTGTTGCTGGCATCTGTATCTGCCAGCTCAACCTAGCCGGGCCTGTGAGGGCGGACGACAGCTTGTGGACTATTGGTGGCCGGGCTTGTGGGCAGAGTGCATGCATGCGTTTGAGGGGCAAAGGCTGAGAGCCTTTTCCTCTGTTGTTTTGCACGTCTCACGCCGGAAAGCCGAGCACGGCAAGCCAGGGGTGTGGGCACTTGAGCGGAAAAGTTCAGAAGGCGTTTCCTTTCTCGGCGATTTTCGTTTTGAGGCGCCTCAAGTGAAGGCGTTTCCTTTCTCGGCTTGATTTTCTTATTTTTCTGCAACCCACAGAGGACAGCGAGCTCCACATCTCGCTTCAAAAGGCAGAGAGAGGAAAGACGTGGCCAGGGGCGCTCCAAGGCCACGCTCTGGACGCCTTCTCCTCGGACCAGGAGGCCAGACGGCTCATGCTGGAGCGGTTTCAGCTGGAGGTGGGTGAAGTGCGGTACAGAGAGGTGTTAAGGCAGTACATGGGGCAATAGCAGCGTTACAAGGCCATGCTCTGGACGCCTTCTCCTCGGACCAGGAGGCGAGATGGTTGATGCTGGAAAGATTCCAACTAGAGGTGGGTGCTGTGCGGTCTAAAGAGGTGTTTGAGGTGCAGTGCGGTGCTGAGAGGTGCAAAGGCTCTCAATGGGCTACGACCAGCACTCCAAGGCCATGCTCCGGATGCCTTTTCCTTGGACCAGGAGGCCAGGCGGGGAGCGGTGATGAGACGTTTCAATTGCAGTTTGGGTGTACTGCGGTGGAGAGCGGTGCTAAGGTACTCCATGGGGCAACAGAAGCGCTCAAAGTGCATGCTGTGGAGGCCGTTCTCGGGTAATGTGTTATGGAGGGGCATTTTCAGCACACACCTTTTCTCTGCTCGCACTATTTCTATTTTACCGGTGTTGCAGAACCCCGGATTTGACTTCTCTGGCGCAGAGCTCACAGGATCGTGCCCGGATCCAGCAGCATTCCTTGGCGGCATGCAGAGGCAGTGATTTGCTTGCTATCCTTAGAGGCAAAGCGACGCAACAGTGGCCCATTGGTTTTCTGCGGCTCATGTTCTCCCGTTTCAATGGCAGGCCAATTATGGCTAGAGAGACATCCTTGCATATTTGTATTTCCGATAAAAGTACATATTACTAGGACCCTAGTCGTTTTGCACCATCAAGAATCAGTGTGCTCGTATGAATTCTTATGTCATTCAACTCTCGAGGTGGAATGCATATACCTCAACCATGCGATTTGAGAGTAGTGCATTACCGCGTATGCAGTCGAGTTTCACCGTTACGTTTGAATTACGTGAATCCACTTTTCCCGCCTCGCTTGCCGCATCTCACGCAAACCCCGTCCATCTCCTCCTAGCTGCTGTGACTTCTGTGAATCCGTCCTACTCGTTCCATTTGCCGCATCTCACGGTATCTCCTCCGGTCCTCTCTTCTCATTTTCGCGCGCTCGTTTTCGCGTCGCACGAGAATAGCTTTCCTGTTTCTCCTCGAGATTGCCGCATCTCACGCGAATTCCTTTCGCACCCTTGGCCCACATTCGCAACTCTCGAGAACACCCCCCACGTTTTCAATGGCTCGGATGAAGCCGTCCGAGCTGCTGCAGCGATCCAAGGGTCGAAAACCGCCGTCGCGGTCCTCGCGAATGTCCATTCCGTGCCTCGCGTGGACCATCTGCATCGTGTCGCTACTCGCCTTCGTCCTCTTCCTCATCCGATCGCGGTGAGCGCATTAGAGGCTTCGCAATACTTTCCTAGATCATCTGCATCGTGTCGCTACTCGCCTTCGTCCTCTTCCTCGTCCGATCGCGGTGAGCTTGCAGCAAACGAGGCAATCTCTTATAAGGCGGATATTCTCTTGTAGCTGACAGGTTCGGCATGGCGTAGCATGCTTTTTTTAAACCATGGCAGCGACGATATGACGGCTCGGATGCCTAAAACGCCATAGCAGGCGATCGTAGAGTCCCCTTAGGGTCGGCTCAAGGCTCAGTGGGTGTGGATTCTGGGGATTCTGGGGATTCCCAAAAGCGAAACTCGTTCGGCTAATCGCCTGATATCTTCGTTCCAGAACTGCTCGAAGCAGGCACCATTTCGGCAATGCACTCACATTCACTCCCACCCTTCCTTGTGCCGCCCGCTCCTATGCCACTGGCTGTGCCTGTGGCTGCTTTTGGCTGCTTCTGGCTGATTGTGGCTGCTTGTGGCTGCTTGTGGCTGCGTCTGGCTGCTTGTGGCTGCTTGTGGCTGCTTGTGGCTGTTTGTGGCTGCTTGTGGCTGCTTGTGGCTGCTTGTGGCTGCTTGTGGCTGCTTGTGGCTGCTTCTGGCTGCTTGTGGCTGCTTCTGGCTGCTTCTGGCTGCTTGTGGCTGCTTGTGGCTGCTTGTGGCTGCTTGTGGCTGCTTCTGGCTGCTTGTGGCTGCTTGTGGCTGCTTCTGGCTGCTTCTGGCTGCTTCTGGCTGCTTGTGGCTGCTTGTGGCTGCTTGTGGCTGTTTGTGGCTGCTTGTGGCTGCTTGTGGCTGCTTGTGGCTGCTTGTGGCTGCTTGTGGCTGCTTGTGGCTGCTTCTGGCTGCTTGTGGCTGCTTCTGGCTGCTTCTGGCTGCTTGTGGCTGCTTCTGGCTGCTTCTGGCTGCTTCTGGCTGCTTGTGGCTGCTTGTGGCTGCTTGTGGCTGTTTGTGGCTGCTTGTGGCTGCTTGTGGCTGCTTGTGGCTGCTTGTGGCTGCTTGTGGCTGCTTGTGGCTGCTTCTGGCTGCTTGTGGCTGCTTCTGGCTGCTTCTGGCTGCTTCTGGCTGCTTCTGGCTGCTTCTGGCTGCTTGTGGCTGCTTGTGGCTGCTTGTGGCTGCTTGTGGCTGCTTCTGGCTGCTTGTGGCTGCTTGTGGCTGCTTGTGGCTGCTTGTGGCTGCTTCTGGCTGCTTGTGGCTGCTTCTGGCTGCTTCTGGCTGCTTCTGGCTGCTTGTGGCTGCTTGTGGCTGCTTGTGGCTGTTTGTGGCTGCTTGTGGCTGCTTGTGGCTGCTTGTGGCTGCTTGTGGCTGCTTGTGGCTGCTTGTGGCTGCTTCTGGCTGCTTGTGGCTGCTTGTGGCTGCTTGTGGCTGCTTCTGGCTGCTTGTGGCTGCTTCTGGCTGCTTGTGGCTGCTTGTGGCTGCTTGTGGCTGCTTGTGGCTGCTTGTGGCTGCTTCTGGCTGCTTGTGGCTGCTTGTGGCTGCTTGCGGCTGCTTCTGGCTTGCGCCTGTCCCTCCCTGCGTGCCGCATGCAGGTTCATCGCCGAGCGAGCAGTAAGTGGACTCTCACGCCTCACCCTCACCTCTCCTCACCTCCTCTCACCTGTCCTCTCCCCCCCTCACGTCCCCTCCGCCCGCTCCCCTTCCCTCCTCTCCCCCCCTCGATCTTTCCTTATCCCATGCCCCATCTCACCCCATCTCACCCCATCTCCTCCCCATCTCGTCCCCATCTCCCCATCTCCCAATTCGCCCCATCTCACCCCATCTCACCCCATCTCACCCCATCTCACCCCATCTCACCCCATCTCACCCCATCTCACCCCATCTCACCCCATCTCACCCCATCTCATCCCATCTCACCCCATCTCACCCCATCTCACCCCATCTCACCCCATCTCACCCCATCTCACCCCATCCTCCCTCCAGTCACCTCCCAGCATCCCTCATAACTTCCATCCACTATAGCTTGCAGTAGAGTTGGTTTTTGAGAATTCTCAAGAACAAACCAACCATAGCTTGCAGTAGAGTTGGTTTTTGAGAATTCTCAAGAACAAACCAACCATAGCTTGCTTGCTGTGCACCACCACAGTTTGCAACTTTTTAGTTACCTTCTAAAGTGCACTTCTAGCCTTGTAGGCCGCATCACAATTTCTGCTGCTTCTCTTTTGCCCATGCCTGGTTCCTTCCCCCACCTTCTCCTACTACCCTTTCCTACCGTCACACTCTACCGTCACACTCTACCGTCACACTCTCTCACGCCCTATTCCTCGTTTTCCTATCGCCTTCCTTCCCCCACGCCCCCCGTCGCTCTCCTCACCTTCCCACGTCCCCCCTCAGGGCACAGCAAAGCACCGGCCCGCAACAAACGCCCCTTTCATCTTCGTACGTGCTGCTGATCCCTATAGTATCCGATTTTGCAGGGTGTTTTTGAGAATTCTCAAAAGCTCCATGATTTAACCCGTGCTGCCCTCGGCTGGTGTGATTTCTTAGTCGACTCAAGAGTCAAACGCCCCTTTCATTCATCTTCGTACGTGCTGCTGACTGTCAATGCATCCCAGCTCCGTGAATTTACTCTATGCTGCCGTTGCCTGCTGATTATGTCATCTTATTCCCTTGTCTCTCTACCAGCTTCCGTCCTCCCTTCCTCCTCCCCCCCTTAATCTATCTTGCTCCCCCTGCTTGCCATACCGCTGCCTCCCTCTGTCTTTCAACAGACCAATCCTCCTCCTGCTTTCGTTCTGCCGTCCCCTGCCTGGTTTTTTCAAAATCCTCCTGCTTTGAAAGTCAAGCTCACGGATTCCGTTGTTGCTTGTTGAATCAACTGCCCCGTCGTGTTTCCCACCCGCCTCTGCTGGCTGCTGCTTGCCTCTGCTGGCTGCTGCTTGCCTCTGCTGGCTGCTGCTTGCCTCTGCTGGCTGCTGCTTGCCTCTGCTGGCTGCCGCTTGCCTCTGCTGGCTGTTGCTTGCCTCTGCTGGCTGCTGCTTTCCTCTGCTGGCTGCTGCTTGCCTCTGCTGGCTGCTGCTTGCCTCTGCTGGCTGCTGCTTGCCTCTGCTGGCTGGTGCTTGCCTCTGCTGGCTGCTGCTTGCCTCTGCTGGCTGCTACTTGCCTCTGCTGGCTGCTGCTTGCTTCTGCTGGCTGCTGCTTTCCTCTGCTGGCTGCTGCTTGCCTCTGCTGGCTGCCGCTTTCCTCTGCTGGCTGCTGCTTGCCTCTGCTGGCTGCTGCTTGCCTCTGCTGGCCGCTGCTTGCCTCTGCTGGCTGCTGCTTGCCTCTGCTGGCCGCTGCTTGCCTCTCCTGGCTGCTGCTTGCCTCTGCTGGCTGCTGCTTTCCTCTGTTGGCTGCTGCTTGCCTCTGCTGGCTGCTGCTTGCCTCTGCTGGCTGCTGCTTGCCTCTGCTGGCTGCTGCTTGCCTTTGCTGGCTGCTGCTTGGCTCTGCTGGCTGCTGCTGTCCCCTGCCGGCCTGTTGGTCATCAGAACATCAAGACAGTGGGCGGCACGATTCTGCTCAAAGTCAAGTTCACGGACTGCTTCATTGAAATCGCCAGGCTCGTTCAGCAATGGTGAGATGAGATGAGCAACGGTGAGATGAGATGAGCAACGGTGAGATGAGATGAGCAACGGTGAGATGAGATGAGCAACGGTGAGATGAGATGAGCAATGGTGAGATGAGATGAGCAATGGTGAGATGAGATGAGCAATGGTGAGATGAGATGAGCAACGGTGAGATGAGATGAGCAATGGTGAGATGAGATGAGCAATGGTGAGATGAGATGAGCAATGGTGAGATGAGATGAGCAATGGTGAGATGAGATGAGCAATGGTGAGATGAGATGAGCAATGGTGAGATGAGATGAGCAATGGTGAGATGAGCCGCAATGGTGAGATGAGCCGCAATGGTGAGGCCTTCCTTCAGAAGCGCACAATTTATCGCCTTTTTTATGAGAGGAGCAGCAGTGGTGAGAGGAGAAGCAGTGGTGAGACTCCCACACAAGGCACTAGGAACTGCCCGCACTTAGTCCGTCGTATGACTTAGGATCAAATCCGACTCTAACGAGGCATTAGAATCCGCCCCACATTAGGCGTCGGCCCTTGATATCTAGTTTTTATTTTCCTCTCACTCCCACATCACCGACTCCCTCCCACATCACCCACGCACAACCACATCACGGACTCCCTCCCACATCACCCACTCACTCCCACGTCACCCACTCACTCCCACATCACCCACTCTCTCCCAAATCACCCACTCACTCTCACATCACCCACTCTCCCAAATCACCCACTCACTCCACATCACCCACTCTCTCCCACCCCGTGATCCTGGCCACCCTCATCCCCATTCCTGTCCATCCCCTTCTCGATGTGTACATGTGTGCGGTTGTGTGCGGTTGTGTGTGTGCTTGGTTGTATGAGTGAGTGTGTGTGCATGCGTTTCTGTGTGTGTGTGTGTATGTGCGTGTGAGTGTGCATTGGTGCACACGTATGCTTGTTTGTGTGGGAGAGAGAGCGAGTGCATTGGATTGCAGTAAGCAGAATCATTTCAAGGATGCAGCACTACAAGCAGAGTCGGAGACCCTTCTAAGGTGAACAAACCTGCATGCAACAATCACTTGAGCACATTTCAATGACATTTCCCGGAGGTGCTGACATGCTCTCTGGTATGTGCACTCATGCGCAGACATATTAAGGACATGTGTCATGGCAGTTAGCATGCAGATCTTACATACAAGTGCAGTGTTTTAGATACATGGTATATGTGTCCAGGGAAAGAATTAACGTCCCGATTCACTCAGCTTCACCACCCTCCACCCCTTTCCACCCCTGCTCACCACAGGGACGAAGGAAATGTGCTGTATCTGAGTGTGGCTACCTACCTTGTTCAAAGCAAACCTGTTAACCACTCTCCACCCCACTCCACGTCTGTTGAATGCACAGAATTGCACACAGGGATGGCAAGGAGGTGAATGGCCCTCAGTGTACATATCTCTGGCAAATCAAACTCCATTCTCATCCCTCTCCACCGCTCTCCACTCCAGATTCACACTCAGGGACTGCAAGGAGTGGATGGCCCTCTCCGGCAAATGAAACTCCATTCTCACCCCTCTCCACCACTCTCCACCGCAGATTGTCACACAGGAACTGCAAGGAGTGGGTGGCCCTTAGCGTGGCCCCCTCCGGCAAATCAAACCATATTTCAACCCCTCTCCATCCCCCTCCACCGCTCTCCACCGCAGATTGACACACAGGGACGGCACGGAGTGGGTGGCTCTCAGTGTGGCCCCCTCCGGCAAGTCAAGTATGTGGGAGGGCAACTGCACCGACTCCATTCCCACCACGCAAATAAGTGGCCACGCGCTCATAGGGGTGAGTGAGTGACAAGCAATGTACGGGTGAGTGCCTTGCAATGTACGGGTGAGTGCCTTGCAATGTACGGGTGAGTGCCTTGCAATGTACGGGTGAGTGCCTTGGGAGTGGTGGGTTGGGTGGCTGCACATTGAATCATGGGATGAGTACACGATGAGTGGTTCTACCTCGGGAAATGTTTCTGTGAGTGCTACAGTAGTATTCCCAAAACTTGCCTATGGTGAGTGGTTCTACCTCAAGAAATGTTTTTGTGAGTGCATTGTACTGATGGCACACTGGTAGCTTGTTCCAACTCAGCTCTTACACCCAAGGCAAGGGGGAGTGCATCACTTGGTTTTGAGGCGCCTCAAAAATTACACCATCCAAGGGGGAGTGCATCACTTGGTTTTGAGGCGCCTCAAAAATTACACCATCCAAGGGGGAGTGCATCACTTGGTTTTGAGGCGCCTCAAAAATTACACCATCCAAGGGGGAGTGCATCACTTGGTTTTGAGGCGCCTCAAAAATTACACCATCCAAGGGGGAGTGCATCACTTGGTTTTGAGGCGCCTCAAAAATTACACCATCCAAGGGGGAGTGCATCACTTGGTTTTGAGGCGCCTCAAAAATTACACCATCCAAGGGGGAGTGCATCACTTGGTTTTGAGGCGCCTCAAAAATTACACCATCCAAGGGGGAGTGCATCACTTGGTTTTGAGGCGCCTCAAAAATTACACCATCCAAGGGGGAGTGCATCACTTGGTTTTGAGGCGCCTCAAAAATTACACCATCCAAGGGGGAGTGCATCACTTGGTTTTGAGGCGCCTCAAAAATTACACCATCCAAGGGGGAGTGCATCACTTGGTTTTGAGGCGCCTCAAAAATTACACCATCCAAGGGGGAGTGCATCACTTGGTTTTGAGGCGCCTCAAAAATTACACCATCCAAGGGGGAGTGCATCACTTGGTTTTGAGGCGCCTCAAAAATTACACCATCCAAGGGGGAGTGCATCACTTGGTGGTGGTTTTAGCCATACGTGGCAGCGGGTCTGTAAAAAACACTTTTTTTTGTGAGTGCCTTGTGGTGATGGCACACTGGTAGCTTGTTCCAGCTCAGTTCTTGTGTAATGAGTCGATTTTTGAGTCGACTAAAAAATCGACTCATTACACACAGTTGTTACACCATCATTACACACAGTTCTTACACCAGCAGTCATACCCTCCCCACCACCCCTCACATCCCCCATCACCCCTCACATCCCCCATCACCCTCACATCCCCCATCACCCACCTACTCCGGGCGCTAACATCAAGAGTCATCCCTCCCCCAGAAATCCCCTCCATCTCCCTCTTGCACCATCCCTCCCTCCTTTTCTTCCCATCCCCCCATCTCCCACCAACTCCAGGCGCTAACATCAGGGGTCATCCCTCCCCCAGACAACCCCTCCATCCCGCTCTCCCTGCCCTCGCTGCCCTACCTCCGTGTGGAGTACGTCAAGGTGTCCCAAGACTCCCTAGGGCTGGCCATGGCTGAAGGGGTAGCCACCATATGATGACCCTGTGATATAAATTCACCGCTAGCCCTCGCTGCCCTACCTCCGCGTGGAGTACGTCAAAGTGTCCCAAGACTCCCTAGGTCTTGCCATGGCTGAAGGCGTAGCAACCATCTAAACGGTATATTCCATACATGTGAGGCGAAGTACCGGTAGCTGCCTTACCTCCGTGTGGAGAAAGGCAAAGTGTCTCAGTCAGTACTAGGCCTTGCCATGGCTGAAGGCGTAGCAGCCATCTAGTACTGGCAGGCCTTTACATGTGGGTGCATGTGATGTGAGGCGAAGCCGCTGCCCTATCTCCATGTGTACTCTTTGACCTCAGCTCAGAGCGGGCCTGAGGTCAGGGCTCTGGGGGGCTTTTACGGCTGAAGGCAGTGCGAAGTTGCGAGCACGACATTTGACAGTACATAGGCAGTGCGGAAATGAGTTGCCTCTGCTGGATTCGTGTGGAGGACATCACTCGGGCATTTGCAACACATCGACACGTCAAGTTGGCACATTCTTTTTTTGTATACTGATGATGAGTAACAAACAAACAATTCCTGAAGCAGCGCTTGCAATCACAAATTCACATGCTCAAACAAAAGCCTCACTGCTTGCCGCTGCATGCTCTGCAACCCAGCATACAAACAAGCACGAACCCTGGACCCTTCTCAAGCCAGCCCCCCCCAGCCAGCCTCCCCCACAGCCCTCTGGATAGAATTTGGAGTAGTTTTTCATGTAAGGGTATGAACCCTCGACCACTTTTTCTGTAAGGGTGTATTTTTTTTCCACTTTGGTTTATAAGGGTGCTAAAAAAAACTGCTTTTCCACATCAGGGTGTACAAACGCCATACTCATTCCTAACTGGATAAATTTGCTTAGCATTATAGATGTTGACATTGCAAAGCATAGCGCACTAATCCTGCACCAATACTGCTGCTGCTACTGCTACTACTACTGGTGATGCTGGTGCTGGTGATGCCACTACTACTGCTGCTACTGCTGCTGGAGAGGAGACCCTCTGCTCCCGGTGTTTTTAGTCGGTCATGTCAAACTGGGTAGCAGGGCGGCGGTCCTTGATTGTTCGGAAAATCTCAACCATCTTCAGCCACTCCATGTCGCACTGCACGAGGGCCACTGTCATAAGGTCCTCGAGCTTCCCATCGCCCAAGCAGCTGCGCGTCCACGACTTGATGCGATTCTGGCGGCTGAAGCCCCTCTCGCACTCAACCGTGCTGAGGGGCAGCACGGCGACCGCCTGCCACAGCCGCACTATGTTGGGGTATGCTCCCTCGTAATCCGTGCTGTCCAGCATGAGCTTCATGGACTTGTGAAAGCCGAGATTCGCGTGGTTGGTGTTCATCGTGTGGAGGAAGAGATGCAGCTCTGACACGCAGGTCTTGAAGTTGACTCCTGGGAACTCAGATGGGGGAAATGGGTGGGATATGGGTGGAAGGGGGGGAGGAGTGGAGGGAGGACACAATGCGGGAGGAGTTTAGGGCGTGCAAGGCAGCACCAATGTGACAGCGAAGGAGGTTTACCATGGCAATTAGATTTGAAGCGTATTACACTTACCGTGAAGCTTAAAATGGAAAAGCTTATCTAGCAGAGCCAACCACTCCCTGGCCTTCTTCATCAATGATGCCCAGTCCTCGGGGTATACGAGCGGCCGAAACAACTTTGCGCCGTTAAGATCCTGCAGGTCGTCCAGCCTGTGCTCCAGTCGTGCCTTTGCCTCCGCCGCATACTCCCTGCACAGCTTCACGCAGGTCGGGTAGTCCCCCTTGCCTTTCTGACCTTCCCATGGCTCCTCGCTTAGCGTGAAGGTATGCACAGTCGGTGCGTCTTCCTTGTCGACACCTTCGACTGTCACCTCTCGAAACTGGGGGTTGGCATGCTCCTTCAAGAAATTCTTCAGAAGCGGAGAGTCCCTGCCGAAAGCGTTTTCGCAGTCGATGTAGCGGACGTCAATCTTTCTGCACACCAGGTTAACCTCGCCAGCGACCAGTGTAATGTCCACCTGAGGTCGTGCATAAAACAGAGGAAGAACGACAAAAATTAGGGCCTGCGGTTAAACAAACACAAGGTCACAGCCATCAGAAACCTCACCTGCTTCTTCTGAAACTTCGCGTTGAGGTCGTTGAGGACCTCGAGCAAATCTGCCAGGAAGTACACAAGGAAGTGAAACTTGAAACTCTTCACAAGTCCGTATAGCTCGTGCTGATACTCGTGCAGAAGCACGACTACAGCCGGCAACAGCTGCGCGAATCGCTTCACCGCACTCCCCCGTGAAAGCCAGCGGACGTCATATATTCCCTGGAGCTCCAGATTCGTGTCACACAGCTCTTCCTGCAGCTTCTTGAAGCGTCTGTGCCAGATCCCGCTCCTTGACAGCAGTTCAGAGACGGTTCTGATGACTTGGTCGATGACGGAGAAGTCTCTAACCTTCGCCGCTGCGTCTTTGGCTGCCAGAGACTCACTGGCAGGGAGGGGGGAGGGAACACATAGACGCACACCAGGTGTGTGACAGTAGAACGTGACATCGCATGCGATTTGGGAACCAACAACTAAAAGGCAACCAGTCAAACACCAAACACTGGAGTCAACTCACCGATGGGCGATGCAGTGGCATGACACTAGGTGCCGAATCTTAACACGCAACCGTGCGACGACGCCCTTGTGCTCGCCTACCATGACAGACGCGCCGTCCGTACTTATCCCGACGATCTTCTCCATGTTGATGCCGACCGATCGCATGTAAGTCTCCAGAACTTCAGTGAGGCTTGCTGCATCACATTTTTGCACGGTGAGAAGCGTCAGGAACTCGGTACGCACATAGCCATCCTTGATATAAGTCACGTATACTATCAGATGCTTCCCTCTGACACGGTCTGTGCTCTCGTCAATAGCGATGCCGAGATAAGGGCTGTTGGCGATGTTCTTCAGCTGCTCTTCTCGTAGGTACTTCGATGCGGCCTCGACCAACTCGTTGAATCCGTATCTGCCAAGCATACAAACAATGAAACAAGAGAGTAGTCAGAGATGTTGCAACTCATGGACCAATAATATGGTCGCTCAGTACTTGGAAAAAAACGCACTAAGATTCGGATTCGAAGTTTCTCACTCTGAAAAGTAGGCACCCTTCTGATCCAGAGGGAGGTTGGGCGTCTGCACTGAAGCCATGAACTTGATAAAGCCGACGTAGGATGTTATCGGCGCCTCCGATTGGCACGTGTACACCGCCGTCTTCATGGCGGTGATGAGATGTAGCGTGCTCTTGTCGAGGCCCTCGTACTCGTTTAGGAGTGTTTGCCGCAACATCCTCGAGTGCTTAGCCTTCATTAGACGGTAGGCGTCGCGGTGGGCGTTGGACCGCTGGTGAGTCTGGATGCTGTTCTTCTGCATGTCACGCCCGCCGCAACCGTCCTTGCCGTACTTGGTGTCCGCACCTGAAACTCCGTGCTCGAGGCAAGTGCTGCAGCGCAATAGAGGGAAACCATCGTCAGCACGGTCGAGGACAAGCCACGGGAACAAACTCTCCCATGAAGACTTAAAACGTCGGTGCGCTTTTGCAAAAGCAGCCTGTGGATCTTTGGAACTCTCTTGGTCGGTGGGTTCGTGATCCTCGTCATCATCGTCGCCGGCGACGTCGTCGGGTTCCTCAACAGGCGCTTTGTCTGTTGACCGAGCGAAGGGGAGATGCTGCTGCCGCCACTTCTGCGGCAGGCTGCTCGCTTTCCGCTTCGCGGAAGACGACGTCAAACCCACAGCAGTTGGGGATGGGGCAGGAGAACCCCCAGAGGCGGAAACCGGTAGAGCAGCGGGAGATGGGGGTGTACACTCAGGGACATCCGCTATGGGTTCGGTCAGAGGAGGTGACCCAACGCAAGGGGAGCTTGGAGGTGGGAACGGCTGAGCGACTATGATTGGTGCGCGACGGAGGAAACTAAGGGCTGATCGCGGAGGGGATAGCGGGCGTTTCCGCCCACCATCCTCCTCCTCATCGCTGTCGACGGGGTCCATGGCTATCGTCAAGGCAAGAGGAATATGGTAAGGAAGCGGATGAGAGATAGAAACACGGAGCAGATTGCTTCTCAGTGCTCTCAAGAACAGCACGGAAGAGACCGTTGAAGAAGAACTGGTGCCCCGAACAGAGGAGAAGGGGATCGACAGTTGTGCCCCCTTCTTTCCACCAATCATGTCGTTTGCCTGCAGAACAGGTCACCGCAGGACCATTTGCTGCCGCGCTGTCCATGCGCGCTCCGACCCCTGACGATGATTGGTTTGTCTTTTCCTAGAAAGCCACACACTTTGACTCGCTGGAGCAGTCACGTCGACGCGCGCCAGCACAGAGCAGTAATGGCGCTGATTGCGGCGTGACTCGGGGGAATATTCTTGCCCCCAAACGGGGGGCCTGCATGTAGAATCACATCAGGGTATTTTGTAGAGGCACTTTTTCGCATCAGGGTGCGAACGATACACCACTTTTGAAAATCAGGGTCCCGTACAAACATAGTTTTTTTCATAAGGGTCCAAAACTAAAGCACTTTTAAAAATAAGGGTCCAACACCAACCCCAGCCTTATAGTAAGGGCCGTAAGGGTATTTTACCCTGATATCCTGAGGCCTGCTCCCCCACCGAGTCAGAGTATTGCACACCCCTCCCTTAAAGCCCACTAGCAATTCAACCTGTTGGAAATATCTCAAAGGACTTAAGCGTTTCTGAAGTATAACACTGTACTCGAGGAAGATTACAGGGGAGCACGCGAGTCAACGGAGGTTGCACGAGGGGGCGGACAAAGAATGCGAAAATACTCGAAAGGTCGCAACTGGAGGTTACGACTGACCGTTACAACATCACGGATGGTAACCGAAGCGGCAATCGAGTCGCTGTGCGACTCGATAAACCGCTCCTGTAACTGTATTCTACAACCGCTTCTTTTTCTCCTATATATTGCTGTATGCTTGTTCCTTTAATTAATCACTTGTTCTCACATACTAGTACAAGGGTTCAACCGTCTCAACTTCCGCTGCACTACTCAAAGTCTAAAGTACCCACAGCTGGGACTTAGTCTCTGAAAAGATCCTAAGGCCTTTTTCTCAGCCCAACATGGTATGAGAGCTGGTCAGAGACCAAACTCCCAACAACTGCGCTCCATCAACCTGCAACTCAACTCAATTCAACGACTACATTGATCACAAGACATGGACAGCAAGGGCAAGAAAGTCTCTACAGGCTCACCCAGCGGCCAAGAAACTCAACACGGCAACTCTGGTCCGCACACCTCAGGACTGCAGACAGAGACCGGGACTGCTCAAGAAACAATGGGAAGAGTACCAGAGATGGTGACTCCATCTCCCTCTTCAAGCGTGGACCCCAACCTTATGGAAAGGTTCTTCAGCTTCATGTCGCACTTCGACCAGCAGCAGCAGACAAGGACACCTGCGCATTCAACACAGAGCAACGGAGGAAACATGGGATTAGCGCCGATGAGCCTCGACAACTCATCGTTTGGGCGACACAATCAAGCGCCTACCTTTGCGCCTTATCACTCTTCACCGGGGACGTTCGAGTTCATGCCGCCCCGTGCCCAACCAACAGCAGCTGCATCACAACAAACACCAAACGAAATCTTAAGTCTCCAGGCGCAGTTTTCACACGTGATTAAACTGCAGACATCCTCACCGTTCAACGGACACGACTTCTTTACCTGGAGCTTCGAGTTCGAACTGCTGATGGAGGCTGCGCATCTCCTGGGATACTTCAACGGGTCCCTGCCATTCCCAAGCAACGGCACTGGAAAGGAACAAGAAATCTTCACGTATCAGTCACTGCTGGCGTATACGGTTCTCCTGAGAAACCTGTCACCACAAGAACAACAGAGCATCAGAACATACAGGAGCTATGGAAACTCCGCGGAACTCGCATGGCACCATCTCAAGTGCCTCTACCAAGCAAACGACAGCGTGACACAAAGCAGACTCATGCAACAACTGACAACAATACAAATGAAGACCGGGGAAAAGGCGATGCAGTATATGAGTCGATGCCAGACCCTCCGCGACCGCCTGCTTCGGTGCGGAGGAACAATCACTGAAGAAATCTTCGTGACACTTGTCCTCGCCGGGCTCGGGCCAGAATGGAGAACCACACGATCGCTTCTTCGCGCCCACGGAAGAATTTCGGAGATGCACCTCTGCGCCGAGCTTCACGCTGAACAACAGGAGATGGACCTGTTCGAAGAAAGACAACCAAGGAAGCAGCAGCAGTTAGTCTTCTACACTCAACGAAGAAACGACAACACCTACAATCGACGCGGCAAGCAAGAACGCGACAACAGGGGATTTACCTTCGTGCCGCCGTTCTGCCACAACTGCCAGACTTCCGGGCACTCCAAGATCAACTGCAACCGCCCTCGCGTTTACCGTCCAGCAGATCCACAAGTCGCTTCCACTCAAGCAAGTCCCCCAAGACGCTCTTCAACATCTGCACAACAGACACCAAACATCATCAATTGCATGGTACACATCGACAACTGCGCACCCGGATCACCACCCACTTACGCACCAGACGAAGAAGAGCTCCCGCCACCGCGCTCACAAGGCCTTCAAGTCAATCCAACATACGCTGCGGTCGCCAACGCCGAACCCACCGGGCGAAACACCTGGTTCTTGGACAGCTGCTGCGGTCAACACATGTGCTCTTCGGGACGCTTCGTGCAACGAGAGAAACGCCTCAACCGCGACGTCATCATCACCGTCGCCAACAACGAAAACCTGAAAACAAACAGACAAGGCGTGGTTCAGTTACAATCCATCGAGACAAACGTCATACTTCAGCTCAACAAAGTTCTCATTGTCGACAACTTGGGATACAACCTACTAAGCGTAAGCCAACTAATGGCCAAAGGGATTCACCTGGAGTGCGACTCTTACTCCAATGAGTTTCGACTTTACCACGGGAAAGGCGGCCTCTTCATCGGTCGTGCTCTCCTAAAGTCCGGCGTCTTCGTGTTGGACTTCGTCCCCGACCGCGGTACTGCCGACAGCGACGGCATCGTATCATTCGCCGCCTGGACACACCCGCCGGATCTTGATCCAGAATTCGACAGTGACGGCTTTTGGCACTCCAACACCATACCTGCAGCAGAAAGAACACGAGCATTAGCAGTCATCAGACAAGAAAGACAAGTACCCGCGAGTATCCCTACCAAACCATCACCTGCAGTAGCAGCACCAGGACCCAGCCGAGTACCACTACCAGCGATCCGAGGACCGCCAACCGAAGCAGACCAGCTTATACCCATCACACGAGAAGTCTGTCGAAGTCCCGCCACAGTCGTCGCGTTCTTCTCCAACGCCGATATATACCACCGCTCGCCGGGTCATCGCGCTTCCGACGACATCTGGCACCAACGCCTCGGGCATCCTGCAAACAGCACGATACTACAGACAATCCAAGCAGAAGTATTGGAACGCAACGCCCTCCTAACGACGAACGGCCAAGAACTTCGACGACCACGAGCACGTCCTTCACGTGCCCCGAAGCAGATCTTCCCCATCAGCCTTTTCCATCTCATCACAGCCCAAGCGCACCTACATACGCTCCCATGGAAAAAGTCTACAGCGATATCTTAAACATGCCTCGAGAAGACACAGAAGCCGACTTCAACTACGTCATAACGTTCATCGACGCAGCAATCAGATACGTCTGGCACTTCAATCTCAAGACGCGCGATCAAGCTTTCGACGCCTTCACAACATGGCTTCCCATCGCCGAACGAGAATCAGGAACCAAACTCAAGAGCTTCCAGTCCGACGGTGCACTGGAATACCAGTCACAACGCTTCAGGACCTATCTGGCGGAAAGAGGAATCAGACGCCTGGTGTCTCTGCCCTATGCTCACCAGCAGCAGGGGGTCGCAGAACGCATGAACCGGACCTTGCAGACGACGATGCGAAAACTGCTTCTGGGGATGAGGCTGCCTACCACACTGTGGCCAGACGCGATGACACATGCAGTTCACCTGCACAACCTGCTGTCCTCGTCATCGCTTCCCAACAACGCATCACCGCACCTGTTGTGGACAAGAAAAAGGGGCAGCACAAAATTACTCCGAGTTTTCGGCTGCATGGTACAGTACAGACCCCACACAGCCCGAGCAGGACGCTTCACACAACGAGCTCGGTGGGGACTACACCTCGGCATGGCCAAACATTTTCACGCGTGGAAAATTCTCGACATACAAGACAAAAATACCGTGGCATCACGTGATGTTATCTTCTACGAGCGACTGACGCTGCAGCATTACCTGGACAACATTGCCAACACACAAGACCCCACCGACGGCTTCTCGGGACTTCGTTCCTTCGCCGACCGTGCTGCCGAAGCTGACGCGGTAGAAGAAGACGTACCTGAAGCCTCGGAAGCTGCCGGACCACTCCCATTCTGTTCCGTACCTGTTCAACTCGACGAAGACAATCCTCTCGATAGCAACAACCTCGACACCTTTTACCACTTCGCTGACCAAGGTTACATTACACCCCACCCAGTCGACACAAATGTTTCAGAACGCATCGGTCCCAACTTCTTACCTGACCCAGAAGACGGTGACGAAGCAGCTTATTCCGGGAATGAAAATTCCCCTCGACACACACCCACGGGACTGCAGATTCTAGGCCTCTGGGTCTCCGTCCAGCATCCACCGCCGCCTTCTCCGCGAGAGCCTTCGACCCTGTCGCAGGCTCTGGGGGGGGAATATAAGGCGAAATGGAAGGAAGCGATGGAAAAGGAGTTAAAGGCTCTGCAAGACCGGAAAACATGGAAACTGGTACCTGCAACAAGCATCAACGGAAAAAACGTCCTCTCGGGGAAATGGGTGTACCGCATTAAGACCAACTCAGACGGCTCCATCGAACGGTTCAAAGCTCGATGGGTCGTACAAGGCTTCGATCAACGATACGGAACCGACTACACAGAAACCTTCGCTCCAGTCTCCCGTCACACCTCATTACGCATCCTACTCGCCGTTGCGGCCACGAAGACATTACCACTACGCCAAATCGACGTCGCGAATGCGTTCCTATACGCACCTGTGGACGCCGAGATTTTCGTCGAACAACCCCACGGATTCATCGACGACCCCACGAAAGTATGCCAACTGACAAAATCCCTATACGGGATCAAGCAAGCCCCGCGGCTCTGGCAGCAGCATCTCCACGGCCGTCTCGCAAAAATCGGATTCCTACAGCTGCCGCATGACCAAGGGATGTACCGACTGCAGAAGGGAAGAGAGTATATCCTACTCATCGTCTACGTCGACGACCTACTCTACATCGGCTCCACTAGCGACATCGCCACCTGGTTCGAACGGGAGCTGAAAGAAGACTTAACTCTCACGGTGTCCGACGAAGTCACCCAGTACCTAGGACTGAATGTCGTCGAAGACAACTCGGCGTTCTACCTACATGCTGGAAAGTACGCAGGCACCGTCGCGAAGAAATTCGGTCTAACGCCGACTACGGTCCCAACTCCCTACAACTACGGGAACAACAACAGCACCTCCGCAAAACTCCCCGCGAAGCAAATCCGGGAGTATCAACAGAAGCTCGGCTGCCTACTATTCGCAGCAGTAACCTGCCGACCCGACCTGTCCTATAGTGCGAGTCAACTGGCAACGCATCTGAAGCAACCGGAACAGGAAGATCTCGAGGAGCTCAACCGGGCACTACTCTACTTCGTCTCCACACCGACGATCGGGCTTACCTACAGTAAAGCGACAACACCGTCCGTACGACTACTCGGATACGTCGACGCCGATCACGCGGGAGATAGGGAAAATCGACGATCTAGGACGGGCTACATCTACCGACTAGAACCCATCGGAACTATCTCCTGGCAATCGAGCAAGCAGGAGTTAATCGCACTATCTTCGGCTGAAGCAGAGTATATCGCCCTTTGTACTGCGACCAAGGAAGGACTCTACCTGCGGGAGTTACTCGAGGAAGCGAAGATCGCGACCCTGCCCGCCTTCTCACTCCTCTGCGACAACCAATCTGCGATCAAAATCGCGAACAAGGACGGCTTCGCCAACCGAACCAAGCACATCGCCCTGCGGTACTTCTTCGTCAAGGATGAAATCGCGAAGGGGAGACTTCAACTCAGTTACTGCCCCACGACAGAAATGGCCGCGGATTATCTGACGAAGAAATTGGCGAAAGCAAAATTCGACTACTGCATGCTCCTAACCGGGCAAACAAACGTCACCGGATCTGAACATGCCAGCACTCCAGAAACGAAGGGGAGTGTTGGAAATATCTCAAAGGACTTAAGCGTTTCTGAAGTATAACACTGTACTCGAGGAAGATTACAGGGGAGCACGCGAGTCAACGGAGGTTGCACGAGGGGGCGGACAAAGAATGCGAAAATACTCGAAAGGTCGCAACTGGAGGTTACGACTGACCGTTACAACATCACGGATGGTAACCGAAGCGGCAATCGAGTCGCTGTGCGACTCGATAAACCGCTCCTGTAACTGTATTCTACAACCGCTTCTTTTTCTCCTATATATTGCTGTATGCTTGTTCCTTTAATTAATCACTTGTTCTCACATACTAGTACAAGGGTTCAACCGTCTCAACTTCCGCTGCACTACTCAAAGTCTAAAGTACCCACAGCTGGGACTTAGTCTCTGAAAAGATCCTAAGGCCTTTTTCTCAGCCCAACACAACCATTATGCCGTTGGGCTGATAAAAGCCCTTGCTGGGGGATACTGAGCCGTTGTTCACCCCAGCCATAGTTCTCCCCTTGGTTATCCGCAACGAGTCTATCCAGCTCATCCACCAGCTCCTGGTGCTCCGACCCCTTCCTACTCTTCACTTTGCCCCTTTCTCTCTCACTCCCTCCTACAAGCTATGACCCCTCTGTCAAACATGTGTATCTCCTATATTTGCATAGACTGTATAGGGCCACCTCTTAGAGGGTACAACACTTAGGTATATTCACCTGTACTCTCTCTCTACTCAATCATTCAGTTCTCATTCTAACATGGTATCACGCGTAGGTTAGGATCCCCCACCTATCGCTTCCGCCCGTACCCTAGCTAGGCCCGCCGCTTCCCCTTGGGCCCCGTCGCGCCTCCTAGCCCCGTCGCGCCCCTCCTAGGCCCTGCCGCGCCTCCTGGCCCCGTCGCGCCCCTCCTGGGCCCCGTCGCGCCACTAGCCCAGTCGCGCCCCTACTGGGCCCCGTCGCGCCCCTCCTGGGCCCCGTCGCGCCTCCTGGCCCCGTCGCGACCCCCTAGCCCAGTCGCGCCCCTCCTGGGCCCCGTCGCGCCCCCCCTAGCCTCGTCGCGCCCCTTCTGGGCCCCATCGCGCCCCTCTTGGGCCCCGTCACGCCTTTTGGCCCCGTCGCGCCCTGCCTGGCCCCGTCGCGCCCGCTCGGCCCTGTCGCACCCTGCCCGGCCCCGTCGCGCCCGCCTGGCCCCGTCGCGCCCTGCCTAGCCCCGTCGCGCCCTGCCCGGCCCCGTCGCGCCCTGCCCGGCCCCGTCGCGCCCGCCTGGCCCCGTCGCGCCCTGCCCGGCCCCGTCGCGCGCGCCTGGCCCCGTCGCGCCCGCTCGGCCCCGTCGCGCCCTGCCCGGCCCTGTCGCGCCCACCTGGCCCCGTCGCGCCCTGCCTAGCCCTGTCGCGCCCTGCCTGGCCCCGTCGCGCCTGCCTGGCCCCGCCGCGCCTGCCTGGCCCCGCCGCGCCTGCCTTGCGCCCGTCCCAGCCGGCCCCGCGCCCACCCTCGCGACCTCCGCGCCCGTCTGCTCGGCCCCTGCGCCCGTCCCAGCCGGCCCCGCGCCCGTCCCGTCGGCCTGGTGCCCGCTGCTTCTGGCCCGAGCTGTGTGCGGCCCGCTCGTCGTCCCTGCCCCGGCCCTGCATCCTCCCTGGTACGGTTTCCCATCCCTGCACTGCACTGCACCGTCCTGCACCGCACTGCACTGCGCGGTACCGCCCTACACCGCACTGCACCGCCCTGCACCGCACTGCACCATGCTGCACTGCACTGCACCACACTGCACCGCACTGTACAGTCCTGCACTGCTCCTGATGGCGGCGGAGCTTCGCTTCGACGCTGACGGCCAGCCTCTGGAGTTCGAGGCGTGGCTCGCCGACCTCCGTCGCCACCTCACTGGCCATCGGCAGGATGGCCACCCGCTTTCCGCACACCTTGAAGGTACGCTCCCCTGCCCAGACCCCCCTGCTGTTCTGCCCGCTGACCCCACACCCGCTGAGCGCGAGTCTACTGCAGCCACTGCCCTTGCGTGCTCTGTCTGGCTTTCTCCAGACGCTGTCGCTCAGCTTGCCATTAGTAATGCCCTTCCCCCGTCCGAGCGCCCTCGCTTTAGGTCCATCACTACCACCCAGGGTTACTTAGATGCTGTCATCAAGCGCTATTCCACCCCTCCTGCTGCCTCGGTGGGTCGCCTGATCCTCCCGATGCTCTTTCCCGACCTTGCGTCTTTCCCCACTGTCTCTGACCTAGCTGCCCACCTGCGCTCGATAGATGAGACCTGGCGCGCTGCCTGCACTGACACACAGCTTAGAGCCCACCAGCCGCCTATTACCTCTACCCTCTACCTGCTTGCCAGCCGCCTCCCTGACCGCCTTGCCGCCGCCCGCGACCGCTTCCTTAGCATCCACCCCGGTGAGCTCACCCTCCCCGACTTTGTAGACACCCTGACTGTTATTGAGACCCGCCACCGCTCCATCGCCCAGGCGAGCGGTACCGTCCCGGTCCCTATCTTTCAGGGTTGTGCCCCTGCTCAGTGTACCTTCTCCGACGGTTCTGTCGCTGTGGCTGAGATTGCTGCTGCAGCGCAGTTTCATTCGGGGAAGGGCCGCCGCCCCAAGGCTGGGCGCGGCGGAGGAGGCGGGGGTGCAGGAGGGGGTGGTGGTGGAGTCAGGTCGTATGGTGCTGGAGCAGACGAGGGGACCCTGCCCAGTCCAGCTGAGCCGCCGCCTCCGCAGTCGCAGCAGCAGCAGCAGCAGCCGCAGCAGTCGCAGCCTCCGCAGCAGCCGCAGCAGCCGCCGCAGATGAGGCAGGCGAGTGTCCTCCCGCCCGGGTGGCCTGGCGCTGGAGGTGGTCGGGCGCGTGGTGGTGTGCCGAGTGGTGGTTCGGGAGGCGTGCGTTGTCAGTACCAGATCCAGACCGGTCCTCGCCGCGGCTTCGTTTCCGGTAAGCTCGGTCATACCACTCCCCGCTGTTTTCTTCGCCTGGACGACTTGCTTCGTCAGCGCTTCGGCCCGTCGCCAGACCTCCCGGACTGGCACAGTTTGCTTAGTCGTAGGATTCAGATTTCTGACATGGACATGGATGCCATTGTTTCCGCTCTGCATGTGATGTATGCTGATGACTCTAGTGCGCTTCCCGCTTATTACTCACTGTCGTCTAGCGTAGGTGTGCCTAGCTTAGCCTCCCCTGCTGCGTCAGGCGTAGGATCCCCTGCTTTGTTTAGCCTTGGTGCTTCCGCCGTCGCCCCGTCGCCAAACGCCTCTGCTTCGCTTTCCTTCACCTTGGACTCTGGCGCTTCCCGGTGCTTCTTCCGCGACTCTACTACACTGACGCCGCTTCCTGTTCCTGCTGCCGTTTCTCTTGCTGACCCCTCCGGCGGTCCGGTAGTCGCCCGCAGTTCCACCACCCTTCCCTGTCCGGCGGTTCCTTCGGGCTCTCTTACAGGTCTGCATATCCCCTCGTTCTCCAGGAACCTAGTTGGTGTCGGCTGCCTCCAGGACCTTGGCGTCACCACTACGTTCCCTGGTCACGAGCGGTATGCTGTCTGTACCGAGGCCGCCACTGGCGCCCCCCTGTCCACGTTCCCCCGGGACCCGGTGTCCGGCCTGTTCACTCTGGACACCGTGACCCCCCCGGCTGGAGCGCCCCATCAGGTGGCTGCGTCTACCCAGGTTGCTGCTGCCTGCTCCTGTCGGTCCCTCACTCACCCGACTCTCCTTTGGCACCACCGCCTAGGTCACCCTGCGCTCCCGCGTCTGCGTCACATGTCCCAGCACGGTCTCGTCCTTGGTCTCCCTGGTTCTCTCCCCGCTTTTCCCTCCTCCCCAGCCCCACCTTGCACGCCTTGCGTCGAGGGTCGGCTTCGCCGTGCCCCTCACTCCTCCTCGTTTCCCCCTACCGCCGCGCCGCTGCAGACCCTGCACATGGACGTCTGGGGCCCCGCCCCCGTCCATGGGCCGCGTCGAGAGCGCTACTTCCTTGTGCTTGTCGACGACTTCACTCGCTACACCTCGGTCTTTCCCCTGGAGCGGAAGGCCGACGTGCCTGCCGCTCTCATCCCTTGGCTTGTCTCTGCCCGTGTCCACCGAGGTCTCCCTGTCTTGCGCCTTCACTCCGACCGTGGTGGCGAGTTTGCCTCAGGTGTCCTTGGTCGCTTTTGTCGTGCGGAGGGCATCACCCAGACGTTCACCCTACCGGACTCCCCACAGCAGAATGGGGTCGCTGAGCGACGCATCGGTTTGGTCATGGAGGTGGCTCGCACCTCCATGATCCATGCCGGTGCACCCCATTTTCTGTGGCCGTTCGCTGTGCGCTACGCTCCTCACCAGCTTAACCTGTGGCCGCACCCCCAGCAGCCGCAGGTTTCGCCGACCCGTCTGTGGACTGGGTCTCCTGGTGACGCGTGTGCGTTCCACGTCTGGGGCTGCCTTGCTCACGTCCGTGCCTCCGGCACGGACAAGCTCACTGCCCGCACTCTTCCCTGCGTCTTCCTCGGTTTTCCCCTTGACGCGTCCGACTGGCACTTCTACCATCCGCCGTCTCACCGCTTCTTTCACTCTCGCGACGTCACCTTTGACGATTCCGTCTCCTACTACCGTCGCTTCCCCCACCGCGGTCCCCCGGTTACCCCCCCCCTGTTCCTGGTCACTCCTTCCCTGGTAGTCCCTGCCCCTCCCCCTCCTCCTCCCCGTCCTGCCCCCTCTGGTATGTCCCACGTCACCCCTCTTCCGTCGGTGGTCCCGGTTGAGGAGTCTTCTGACTCTGGTGGTCCTGCGGCGCAGTCCTCGCCGGCCGCCCCTCCCCAGGCGTCCCCTCCTCCACCGCTTCTGCCGCCGCTGTCGCCCCTGCTGTCGCAACTGTTGTCACCTCCGCCGCCGCCGCCGCAGCCGTCGTTGTCGCTGCCGCCGCCGCCGCAGCCGTCGTTGTCGCTGCCGCCGCCGCCGCCGTCGCAGCACCCGTTCGTTGACTCTGGGGGTGCTGGCGTTGGAGTGCGTGCTAGTCCCGGTAGCCCTGGGGGTGGTACCGGTCCTCGAGGGGTTTCGGGCCCTCGAGGTGTTCCCTCTGGGGGTGCTGGTGTGGAGTGTGCCGGTGGTAGCCGAGGAGCAGCTTGCGGTCCAGGTGTCGGCGTTGTGCCGTCGCAGCAGCAGTCCCCGCCGGTGTCAGCCCTTCGCCTGCTCGGCCTTCCGTCCCCTGACCCTGCGTCTGTTCCTCTCCGACCGTCTCCTCCTCTTCCCGTCTACAGCCCTGTGTTCCCTCCGCTGGACTCGTCCCCGGCTCGTCTTCCCCCTCGTTCCCCTCCTGTGTCCCCTCCCCTGTCTCCTGACCCGACTCCTCCGTCTCACGTCTGGTCTCACCGTCCCTCCCGTGCTCGTCCTGCCTCCCCTGTCTTGCGCTCCCACCCTATGTTGCTTCGTTCCCGCGCGTCTCGTCCTCCCCTTCTCCCGTCGCCTCCTCCGTCCTCCCTCCTTGTTGCACCCCCCCCCGCTGTCTAACTACCTTCGTGCCGCTCGTCCTCTTGTTCCTCGGGTCCTTGCCTCTCTCGTTACCGACCCGTCTGTTCCGGTCTCGTGCCTTGACGCTCTTGTAGCTGCGGTCGCTGACTTCGCCTCTACCCGCCGCCTTGACTACGCCACCGCTCTGGTCTCTGACCCTGCCTGTCCTCCGTCTGTCGGGGGTGCTCCTGCCCTCGGCAGTGACGTCCTGGAGGACCGCCAGTTCGATCTTGCTTTCCTGTCCGAGGCTGCTCCCCATCTCTGTTCCATTCTGCTAGTCCCTGAGGGTGACCCAGACGCTTTCGACATCCCGACCCCTCGCACTTACGCTGAGGCGACCTCGGGACCTTGGGCCTCGCAGTGGATAGCTGCCATGGAGCAGGAGATGGCATCTTGGAGATCCACCGGCACTTTCGTCGACGCAGTTCCCCCGCCTGGGGTGAACGTAGTCGATGGCCGCTGGCTCTTCAAGGTGAAGCGCCCTCCTGGAGAGCCGCCTGTCTTCAAGGCGCGCTACGTGGCTAGAGGCTTCAGTCAGCGTGAGGGGGTGGATTTCTTCCAGACCTTCGCTCCGACCCCGAAGATGACTACTCTTCGGGTTCTGTTACACCTAGCTGCTCAGCGTGACTACGAGCTTCACTCCCTCGACTTCTCCACTGCCTTCCTTTAGGGCAGCCTACACGAGCAGGTCTACTTGCGTCACCCTCAGGGCTTTACTGGCACCTTCCCTCCTTGGACCCAGTGGCTCCTGCGGCGCCCCGTCTACGGCCTACGCCAGGCTCCCCGTGAGTGGCACGACACGCTGCGTGCTACCCTTGCTGACCTGCAGTTCTTTCCGTCTTCCGCAGACCCCTCACTCTTCGTTCGTGCTGGCCAGACTCCGTTCTACATCCTTGTTTAAGTCGACGACCTGGTCTTTGCCACAGCAAACAGGGACGCACTGGCCTCAGTGAAGGCAGAGCTGCTGAAGAGACACACGTGCACTGACCTTGGAGAACTGCGCCGTTACCTTGGCTTGCAGATCTGCAGGGACAGAGCATCGCGCACCATCACCCTGACTCAGTCACACTTGGTGCGCCAGGTCCTTCAGAGGTTCGGCCTTCAGTTCTCCTCTGCACAGCCCACCCTTCTGCCTATAGACCACAGGCTCTCCGCTCGAGTTTCTGAGGAGTCGGTAGAGCCCAGCAGCCCCTACGCAGAGCTGGTGGGTTGCCTCATGTACCTGATGACTTGCACTCGCCCAGATCTTGCATACCCTCTCAGCATCCTGGCTCGCTTTGTGGCCACAGCCAGACACCGACCGCAGCACTGGTCTGCCGCTAAGAGGGTTTTGCGTTATCTTGCTAGTACATCGGGCATGGGCTAAGTGCTAGGAGGACGCAGGCCAGTGGTCCTTACTGGACACACAGACGCTTCGTGGGCAGACGACGCCGAGACACTCAGGTCTACCCAGGGCTACTGCTTCAGCCTTGGTTCAGGTGCCGTCTCGTGGAGAGCTACCTGCTCCTCGTCTGTTGCGCAGTCCAGCTGTGAGGCTGAGATCTACGCTGGTGCCATGGCGGCACAGGAGCTCCGCTGGCTGACCTTCTTGCTCACTGACTTAGGTGAGCGGCCTAGCTCTGCCCTGGTCCTGTTCGCTGACAACAGGGCCATGATCCTCCTGTGTCAGGAGCCTCGACTCGAGGGCAGAGCGAAGCATATTCAGCTGCGGTACTTCCTCCTGCGCGAGCTACAGCAGCGACGCCAGGCTCGCGTAGTACACTTGGCCTCAGGTGCCAACACAGCTGATATCTTTACGAAGGCGCTTGCGCCTAAAGATCATCAGCGGCACTGTGTACAGCTCGGTCTAGTTCCTGTAGCCTCTCACTTGCTAGGGCCTTGACTTTGTACTGTCCTTTATATCTGTACTCAGACTGGACTTGTGTCCTCTCCCAATGGCTGGACTAGTAGTGCCGCCCTGGCCTTGTTCTTACCTTGTCTGTACTCCTTCTGACTGGTCTTTTAGACCCTCGTCTCAGAGGCTAGACTAGTAGTGCCTCCCTGAGCTGCTTGTTCAGGACATGCCCCTATGCAGTCTTGGGGGTGTGTCAAACATGTGTATCTCCTATATTTGCATAGACTGTATAGGGCCACCTCTTAGAGGGTACAACACTTAGGTATATTCACCTGTACTCTCTCTCTACTCAATCATTCAGTTCTCATTCTAACACCCTCACCCATACTTCTTCGCCCTGTAGTCAGCCACGAGCCTATCAAGCTCATCCACCAACTCCTGGAGCGTAGATGGCTTCGTGCCTCTCCCCTCTGTCCCTCCTCTCCTGCTCCCCTCCATTTAGACTCATCTCCTTACCCATAGTTCTTCGCCCTGTAATCCGCCACGAGCCTATCAAGCTCATCCACCAACTCCTGGTGCTCAGACCCCTTCCTGCTCTTCACCCTGCCCCTCTCCCCCCCCCCACCAGCCCCTACTCCAGTTAGTGCTGCCTGCGCCCGCCTAGCATCCATCACTGCTGCTGCTTCTGCTCGCTTCCTTGCATCCGCCTTTGCCTTGACGCTGGGTCTCACAGGAGCAGCAGCAGCAGCAGGGGAGGCACCACCAGTCTTGGCAGCAGCAGCAGGAGAGGCACCAGCAGCCTTCACTGCAGCAGCAGGGGATGCGCCACCCGTGTTGACAGGAGCAGCAGGAGACGCACCGGATTTCACTGCTGCTGCCTTGTGCTTCCGCTTCAAATCCACCTTCCCAATGCCGCTCGTGCCGCCCTGCTGTGCTGCACCCACTGCCTTTCCACCTGCTCCCTTCTGTGGCACCTCTTGTCCCTTCCCTTGCTGCGCCTGCTGCGCCTGCTTCTGCTTCTTCCTTGCTGGAAGGCTGTCAGCCACACTAGCAGCAGGCGCCTTGATTCCAACAGCCTCGGCCCCCTTGCCTGTACTCCCCTCACCCTGACTCCCCTCCACCTTTCTCCCCTCAGCCTTTCTCTTCGCCCCTCTTGCACCGCCCGAGCCAGCAGCCCCAGCCTTGCCACCCAATCCACCCTTCCCTTCGCCTGCCTCTCCAATGGCCTGTGGCTGCTCCAGTTGCCCCTGCGCTGGCCGCTGCTTCTGCTGTCGGTTCTGCTGCCTGTCGTGCTGCCGCCTGTCACTCTGCTGCCGGACCGTCTGCTGCCTCTGCTTGACGATAGAGATGTTCTCGATCGCAAATTCCACGATGGGGCGACCGTCGCGCGAGAAAATAGCTGCAAGGATGTGAGGGAGAGGCACGGGGAAGAACATCCGGGAGAGACAAGACAGTGGGGATAAGAGGAGCTGCTGGACGATAGCGATGTTGTCGGTTGCGAATTCCACAATGGGGCGACCGTCGTGAGAGAAGATGGCTGCAGGGGAGAGAGACATGCACATGGGAGAGACATGCACATGGGAGTGGCACGCATATGGGAGCGATACGGGAAGGAACGGAGAAGCGCAGAAGGCAGGGATAAGCGAATAGAGAGTAGCGAATTCCACAGGGGGGCGACCCTTGCGCGAGAGAATGGCTGCGAGGGTGCGAGGGAGCGGCATGGACGTGGGAGTGGCACAGGGAAGGAAGGTCGGGAGAGAGAACAACGTGGGGATCAGAGGGGCTGCTTCACAATGGCAATGCTCTCAATCGCAAACTTCACAATGGGGGGACTCTCGCGAGAAATGTTGGCTGCGGGGGAGAGACATACATGTGAGTATGGGGTAGAAGAATAACAAGAATGCTGATGTGTGAATGAATGAAAGTAGGAGGAGATGGTGCAATCGGCCTAGACAGGAACATTCAAAGCAAGCAAATGACATGTGCTAGCAGATGACATGTGCTAGCAGATGACATGTGCTAGCAGATGACATGTGCTAGCAGATGATATGTGCTAGCAGATGACATGTGCTAGCAGATGACATGTGCTAGCAGATGACATGTGCTAGCAGATGACATGTGCTAGCAGATGATATGTGCTAGCAGATGACATGTGCTAGCAGATGACATGTGCTAGCAGATGACATGTGCTCGCAGATGACTGATGCTCTCTGAACTCAATGAACGTTGCTCCCTTTGCCCGCAGTCCACTCGCTACCAACATTGCTAAGTCTTGCTGCTGCTGCCGTGGACCTCAGTCTCAAGAACCCTCACTACCAGCACTGCACTGCTAAGACTCAGGTACTCACTGGGATGGTTGTTGAGTGCTCTCAGCGCCGCCACCACGTGCTGGTGCTTGCTGAACCCAACTCAAGCAACGATGCTGCCTTGGACCTCAGTCTCAAGAGCACTCACTACCAACACTGCAATGCGACAAGTCACCGACTCACTGGGATGGTTGTTCAGTGCACTCACTGGGATGGTTGTTCAGTGCACTCACTGGGATGGTTGTTCAGTGCACTCACTGGGATGGTTGTTCAGTGCACTCACTGGGGTGGTTGTTCAGTGCACTCACTGGGGTGGTTGTTCAGTGCACTCACTGGGATGGTTGTTCAGTGCACTCACTGGGATGGTTGTTCAGTGCACTCACTGGGATGGTTGTTCAGTGCACTCACTGGGATGGTTGTTCAGTGCACTCACTGGGGTGGTTGTTCAGTGCACTCACTGGGATGGTTGTTCAGTGCACTCACTGGGGTGGTTGTTCAGTGCACTCACTGGGATGGTTGTTCAGTGCACTCACTGGGATGGTTGTTCAGTGCACTCACTGGGATGGTTGTTCAGTGCACTCACTGGGGTGGTTGTTCAGTGCACTCACTGGGATGGTTGTTCAGTGCACTCACTGGGGTGGTTGTTCAGTGCACTCACTGGGATGGTTGTTCAGTGCACTCACTGGGATGGTTGTTCAGTGCACTCACTGGGATGGTTGTTCAGTGCACTCACTGGGATGGTTGTTCAGTGCACTCACTGGGGTGGTTGTTCAGTGCACTCACTGGGGTGGTTGTTCAGTGCACTCACTGGGATGGTTGTTCAGTGCACTCACTGGGATGGTTGTTCAGTGCACTCACTGGGATGGTTGTTCAGTGCACTCACTCGGGTGGTTGTTCAGTGCACTCACTGGGATGGTTGTTCAGTGCACTCACTGGGGTGGTTGTTCAGTGCACTCACTGGGGTGGTTGTTCAGTGCACTCACTGGGATGGTTGTTCAGTGCACTCACTGGGATGGTTGTTCAGTGCACTCACTGGGATGGTTGTTCAGTGCACTCACTCGGGTGGTTGTTCAGTGCACTCACTGGGATGGTTGTTCAGTGCACTCACTGGGATGGTTGTTCAGTGCACTCACTCGGGTGGTTGTTCAGTGCACTCACTGGGATGGTTGTTCAGTGCACTCACTGGGGTGGTTGTTCAGTGCACTCACTGGGATGGTTGTTCAGTGCACTCACTGGGGTGGTTGTTCAGTGCACTCACTGGGGTGGTTGTTCAGTGCACTCACTGGGATGGTTGTTCAGTGCACTCACTGGGATGGTTGTTCAGTGCACTCACTGGGGTGGTTGTTCAGTGCACTCACTGGGATGGTTGTTCAGTGCACTCACTGGGATGGTTGTTCAGTGCACTCACTGGGATGGTTGTTCAGTGCACTCACTGGGGTGGTTGTTCAGTGCACTCACTGGGGTGGTTGTTCAGTGCACTCACTGGGATGGTTGTTCAGTGCACTCACTGGGATGGTTGTTCAGTGCACTCACTGGGGTGGTTGTTCAGTGCACTCACTGGGGTGGTTGTTCAGTGCACTCACTGGGATGGTTGTTCAGTGCACTCACTGGGATGGTTGTTCAGTGCACTCACTGGGATGGTTGTTCAGTGCACTCACTGGGGTGGTTGTTCAGTGCACTCACTGGGATGGTTGTTCAGTGCACTCACTGGGATGGTTGTTCAGTGCACTCACTGGGATGGTTGTTCAGTGCACTCACTGGGATGGTTGTTCAGTGCACTCACTGGGATGGTTGTTCAGTGCACTCACTGGGATGGTTGTTCAGTGCACTCACTGGGATGGTTGTTCAGTGCACTCACTGGGATGGTTGTTCAGTGCACTCACTGGGATGGTTGTTCAGTGCACTCACTGGGATGGTTGTTCAGTGCACTCACTGGGATGGTTGTTCAGTGCACTCACTGGGATGGTTGTTCAGTGCACTCACTGGGATGGTTGTTCAGTGCACTCACTGGGATGGTTGTTCAGTGCACTCACTGGGATGGTTGTTCAGTGCACTCACTGGGATGGTTGTTCAGTGCACTCACTGGGATGGTTGTTCAGTGCACTCACTGGGATGGTTGTTCAGTGCACTCACTGGGATGGTTGTTCAGTGCACTCACTGGGATGGTTGTTCAGTGCACTCACTGGGATGGTTGTTCAGTGCACTCACTGGGATGGTTGTTCAGTGCACTCACTGGGATGGTTGTTCAGTGCACTCACTGGGATGGTTGTTCAGTGCACTCACTGGGATGGTTGTTCAGTGCACTCACTGGGATGGTTGTTCAGTGCACTCACTGGGATGGTTGTTCAGTGCACTCACTGGGATGGTTGTTCAGTGCACTCACTGGGATGGTTGTTCAGTGCACTCACTGGGATGGTTGTTCAGTGCACTCACTGGGATGGTTGTTCAGTGCACTCACTGGGATGGTTGTTCAGTGCACTCACTGGGATGGTTGTTCAGTGCACTCACTGGGATGGTTGTTCAGTGCACTCACTGGGATGGTTGTTCAGTGCACTCACTGGGATGGTTGTTCAGTGCACTCACTGGGATGGTTGTTCAGTGCACTCACTGGGATGGTTGTTCAGTGCACTCACTGGGATGGTTGTTCAGTGCACTCACTGGGATGGTTGTTCAGTGCACTCACTGGGATGGTTGTTCAGTGCACTCACTGGGATGGTTGTTCAGTGCACTCACTGGGATGGTTGTTCAGTGCACTCACTGGGATGGTTGTTCAGTGCACTCACTGGGGTGGTTGTTGAGCGCCCTCAGAGCCGCCACGGCGTGCTGGTGCTCGCTGAACTCGATGAACGCTGCTCCCTTGGACCGCGGCTTGCCGTCTGGCCCCACCCGGTCTGTCTCCCTCAAGACCTTGACCTGCGGGGAGAGAGAGGATGGCAGATGGCAAGAGGGGTGGAAAGAGATGCGAAAAAAGTGGCACCAGAAAATAGGGTGAATGACCTTGACCTGCGGGGAGGATGAATGACGATAGCGAAGGGTGGAAGCAGATTGGAAGGAGTGCAGATGGCAAGTAGGTCGCTACCATGCACCCTTTACCCACACATGTGGCTTTTGCTACTTGGCGCGTGCCCTCACTGTATTCCCAAACACCCGCTCCAGCTCCTTCTCGCCTATTTTTTTCCCACTAGCATGCTGTATGCACCACCCCTCACAGCTGCACCTGTTTCACATGTGGCTTCTGCTTCTTCACACGTGCCTTCACTGGATGCACAAACACCTGCTTCAGCTCCTTCTCGCCCGTGCCTCAATACTATACGGCCTCATAGCCCTCACCTGTTTGACTTGCGGCTTCTGCTTCTTAGCTCTGGCCTTCACTGCATCCAGAAACACCTGCTTCAGCTCCTTCTCGCCCATCTCCCGCGGCACGTTGTGCACCGCCAGGCGGGTCAAAGACACTGCAAAGTTGGGGCTGCGCAGCTTCAGCAGCTTCTCGCGCTGCAGTCTGGGTAAGTAGGGGTGGGGTCACACGGAAATGATGGAGTGGAGTGGAGTGGAGTGGCTTTTGAGTCGACTCAAAAGTCACCTCTCGCGGCTTGTAGTGCACAGCCAGGCAAGTCAGTGACACCCAGACCCTGCAGCTTCAGCAGCTTCTCCCACGGGAGCCTGGGAAAAGTGGGTTTCAGAACAGGAATCACAGGAAAACGGGAATGGCACAATATATGCTGTCCGCGCCTTGATATTTCTTCTCCTTCCTCCACCACGCACCCTCCTGCAAAGTTGGGGCTCCGCAGCTTCAGAACCCTCTTGCCTTCTGCCTGGGGCAAGTAGGGGAGAGACAACCATGAGGCACTGCGAAGTTGGGACTGCACAACTTCAAGAGCTTCTCACGCTGCAGCCTGGAGGGAAAAAGGAGAAAGAGGAGATAAAGAAGAGAGGAAGAAGAGTGCCCTTCAGCAGCACGTGCCCTTCAGCAGCACGTGTCCTTCAGCAGCAAGTGCCCTTCAGCAGCACGTGCCCTTCAGTTCAGCAGCACGTGCCCTTCAACAGCACGTGCCCTTCAACAGCACGTGCCCTTCAGCAGCACGTGCCCTTCAGCAGCACGTGCCCTTCAGCAGCACGTGCCCTTCAACAGCACGTGCCCTTCAGCAGCACGTGCCCTTCAGCAGCACGTGCCCTTCAGCAGCACGTGCCCTTCAGCAGCACGTGCCCTTCAGCAGCACGTGCCCTTCAACAGCACGTGCCCTTCAGCAGCACGTGCCCTTCAGCAGCACGTGCCCTTCAGCAGCACGTGCCCTTCAGCAGCACGTGCCCTTCAGCAGCACGTGCCCTTCAACAGCACGTGCCCTTCAGCAGCACGTGCCCTTCAGCAGCACGTGCCCTTCAGCAGCACGTGTCCTTCAGCAGCAAGTGCCCTTCAGCAGCACGTGCCCTTCAGTTCAGCAGCACGTGCCCTTCAGCAGCACGTGCCCTTCAGCAGCACGTGCCCTTCAGCAGCACGTGCCCTTCAGCAGCACGTGCCCTTCAACAGCACGTGCCCTTCAGCAGCACGTGCCCTTCAGCAGCACGTGCCCTTCAGCAGCACGTGCCCTTCAGCAGCACGTGCCCTTCAGCAGCACGTGCCCTTCAGCAGCACGTGCCCTTCAGCAGCACGTGCCCTTCAGCAGCACGTGCCCTTCAGCAGCACGTGCCCTTCAGCAGCACGTGCCCTTCAGCAGCACGTGCCCTTCAGCAGCACGTGCCCTTCAGCAGCACGTGCCCTTCAACAGCACGTGCCCTTCAACAGCACGTGCCCTTCAGCAGCACGTGCCCTTCAGCAGCACGTGCCCTTCAGCAGCACGTGCCCTTCAACAGCACGTGCCCTTCAACAGCACGTGCCCTTCAGCAGCACGTGCCCTTCAGCAGCACGTGCCCTTCAGCAGCACGTGCCCTTCAGCAGCACGTGCCCTTCAACAGCACGTGCCCTTCAACAGCACGTGCCCTTCAGCAGCACGTGCCCTTCAGCAGCACGTGCCCTTCAGCAGCACGTGCCCTTCAGCAGCACGTGCCCTTCAGCAGCACGTGCCCTTCAGCAGCACGTGCCCTTCAGCAGCACGTGCCCTTCAACAGCACGTGCCCTTCACAGCACGTGCCCACAGCACGTGCCCTTCAGCAGCACGTGCCCTTCAGCAGCACGTGCCCTTCAGCAGCACGTGCCCTTCAGCAGCACGTGCCCTTCAGCAGCACGTGCCCTTCAGCAGCACGTGCCCTTCAGCAGCACGTGCCCTTCAGCAGCACGTGCCCTTCAGCAGCACGTGCCCTTCAGCAGCACGTGCCCTTCAACAGCACGTGCCCTTCAGCAGCACGTGCCCTTCAGCAGCACGTGCCCTTCAGCAGCACGTGCCCTTCAGCAGCACGTGCCCTTCAGCAGCACGTGCCCTTCAGCAGCACGTGCCCTTCAGCAGCACGTGCCCTTCAACAGCACGTGCCCTTCAGCAGCACGTGCCCTTCAGCAGCACGTGCCCTTCAGCAGCACGTGCCCTTCAGCAGCACGTGCCCTTCAGCAGCACGTGCCCTTCAGCAGCACGTGCCCTTCAGCAGCACGTGCCCTTCAGCAGCACGTGCCCTTCAGCAGCACGTGCCCTTCAGCAGCACGTGCCCTTCAGCAGCACGTGCCCTTCAGCAGCACGTGCCCTTCAGCCCCCCCAGCACGTGCCCTTCAGCAGCACGTGCCCTTCAGCAGCACGTGCCCTTCAGCAGCACGTGCCCTTCAGCAGCACGTGCCCTTCCAGCACGCCCCACACCGTGCCCTTCAGCAGCCCCCCAGCACGTGCCCTTCAGCAGCACGTGCCCTTCACAGCACGCCCAGCACGTGCCCTTCAGCAGCACGTGCCCTTCAGCAGCACGTGCCCTTCAGCAGCACGTGCCCTTCAGCAGCACGTGCCCTTCAGCAGCACGTGCCCTTCAGCAGCACGTGCCCTTCAGCAGCACGTGCCCTTCAGCAGCACGTGCCCTTCAGCAGCACGTGCCCTTCAGCAGCACGTGCCCTTCAGCAGCACGTGCCCTTCAGCAGCACGTGCCCTTCAGCAGCACGTGCCCTTCAGCAGCACGTGCCCTTCAACAGCACGTGCCCTTCAACAGCACGTGCCCTTCAGCAGCACGTGCCCTTCAGCAGCAAGTGCCCTTCAGCAGCACGTGCCCTTCAGTTCAGCAGCACGTGCCCTTCAACAGCACGTGCCCTTCAACAGCACGTGCTCTTCAGCAGCACGTGCCCTTCAGCAGCACGTGCCCTTCAGCAGCACGTGCCCTTCAGCAGCACGTGCCCTTCAACAGCACGTGCCCTTCAGCAGCACGTGCCCTTCAGCAGCACGTGCCCTTCAGCAGCACGTGCCCTTCAACAGCACGTGCCCTTCAACAGCACGTGCCCTTCAGCAGCACGTGCCCTTCAGCAGCACGTGCCCTTCAGCAGCACGTGCCCTTCAACAGCACGTGCCCTTCAACAGCACGTGCCCTTCAGCAGCACGTGCCCTTCAGCAGCACGTGCCCTTCAGCAGCACGTGCCCTTCAGCAGCACGTGCCCTTCAACAGCACGTGCCCTTCAACAGCACGTGCCCTTCAGCAGCACGTGCCCTTCAGCAGCACGTGCCCTTCAGCAGCACGTGCCCTTCAGCAGCACGTGCCCTTCAGCAGCACGTGCCCTTCAGCAGCACGTGCCCTTCAGCAGCACGTGCCCTTCAACAGCACGTGCCCTTCAACAGCACGTGCCCTTCAGCAGCACGTGCCCTTCAGCAGCACGTGCCCTTCAGCAGCACGTGCCCTTCACCCCCCCCCCCCCCCCCCCTTCAGCAGCACGTGCCCTTTCAGCAGCACGTGCCCTTCAGCAGCACGTGCCCTTCAGCAGCACGTGCCCTTCAGCAGCACGTGCCCTTCAGCAGCACGTGCCCTTCAGCAGCACGTGCCCTTCAACAGCACGTGCCCTTCAGCAGCACGTGCCCTTCAGCAGCACGTGCCCTTCAGCAGCACGTGCCCTTCAGCAGCACGTGCCCTTCAGCCACCCCCAGCACGTGCCCTTCAGCAGCACGTGCCCTTCAGCAGCACGTGCCCTTCAGCAGCACGTGCCCTTCAGCAGCACGTGCCCTTCAGCAGCACGTGCCCTTCAGCAGCACGTGCCCTTCAGCAGCACGTGCCCTTCAGCAGCACGTGCCCTTCAGCAGCACGTGCCCTTCAGCAGCACGTGCCCTTCAGCAGCACGTGCCCTTCAGCAGCACGTGCCCTTCAGCAGCACGTGCCCTTCAGCAGCACGTGCCCTTCAGCAGCACGTGCCCTTCAGCAGCACGTGCCCTTCAGCAGCACGTGCCCTTCAGCAGCACGTGCCCTTCAGCAGCACGTGCCCTTCAGCAGCACGTGCCCTTCAGCAGCACGTGCCCTTCAGCAGCACGTGCCCTTCAGCAGCACGTGCCCTTCCCACCCCCAGCACGTGCCCTTCAGCAGCACGTGCCCTTCAGCAGCACGTGCCCTTCAGCAGCACGTGCCCTTCAGCAGCACGTGCCCTTCAGCAGCACGTGCCCTTCAGCAGCACGTGCCCTTCAGCAGCACGTGCCCTTCAGCAGCACGTGCCCTTCAGCAGCACGTGCCCTTCAGCAGCACGTGCCCTTCAGCAGCACGTGCCCTTCAGCAGCACGTGCCCTTCAGCAGCACGTGCCCTTCAGCAGCACGTGCCCTTCAGCAGCACGTGCCCTTCAGCAGCACGTGCCCTTCAGCAGCACGTGCCCTTCAGCAGCACGTGCCCTTCAGCAGCACGTGCCCTTCAGCAGCACGTGCCCTTCAGCAGCACGTGCCCTTCAGCAGCACGTGCCCTTCAGCAGCACGTGCCCTTCAGCAGCACGTGCCCTTCAGCAGCACGTGCCCTTCACAGCCCCTTCAGCAGCACGTGCCCTTCAGCAGCACGTGCCCTTCAGCAGCACGTGCCCCCCCCCCCTTCAGCAGCACGTGCCCTTCAGCAGCACGTGCCCTTCAGCAGCACGTGCCCTTCAGCAGCACGTGCCCCCCCCCCCCCCCCCAGCAGCACGTGCCCTTCAGCAGCACGTGCCCTTCAGCAGCACGTGCCCTTCAGCAGCACGTGCCCTTCAGCAGCACGTGCCCTTCAGCAGCACGTGCCCTTCAGCAGCACGTGCCCTTCAGCAGCACCCCCCCCCCCCCCGTGCCCTTCAGCAGCACGTGCCCTTCAGCAGCACGTGCCCTTCAGCAGCACGTGCCCTTCAGCAGCACGTGCCCTTCAGCAGCACGTGCCCTTCAGCAGCACGTGCCCTTCAGCAGCACGTGCCCTTCAGCAGCACGTGCCCTTCAGCAGCACGTGCCCTTCAGCAGCACGTGCCCTTCAGCAGCACGTGCCCTTCAGCAGCACGTGCCCTTCAGCAGCACGTGCCCTTCAGCAGCACGTGCCCTTCAGCAGCACGTGCCCTTCAGCAGCACGTGCCCTTCAGCAGCACGTGCCCTTCAGCAGCACGTGCCCTTCAGCAGCACGTGCCCTTCAGCAGCACGTGCCCTTCAGCAGCACGTGCCCTTCAGCAGCACGTGCCCTTCAGCAGCACACGATTTCTTCTCCTTCCTCAGTCACGCGACCTTCCGATTTCAAACCTGCTCCATTTTCTGTGTTACAAGCAACGTTTTAAACTCTGTTTTGTACTTGTCAACTCTTTCTCAACACACCTGAAGGATAGAAGTGCGAGGTCATCTGATGACAATGATGCTCTCTATGATTTTCACACAGATCCTTTGAAGAGAGCAGAGAATTGCAGATTCCTTGCTTGCATCCAGTCTCTTTCTCCCACGCACAAACCAGGCAGTGATCAAAAGGTAATCCACAGACACGCTTCTGTACAAAAACTTGCTCCTTCTGAAAAAGTAAAACCTCCCATAGTGTGTTCTCTCAACTCCCTCATGGCGTATGCGAGAGCGGTTTATGAGATCTTTGAGCTTCCTCATAGACGACACACTGAGAACGACCACATCGTCTCGTCAGTATTCCAATAACAACCCACCTCTTCCTCTTCTCTATGTCTGCTGCTGGCATCCCCTTGGCTGCCCTCGTGCCCTGTTAGTGTCACACCATGCCACATAGTGCCGTGTAATGCCATGCCATGCCATGCATACCCATGCAGCACCGTGCCTCAGACTAACCTCTTCCTCTTCTCCATGTCTGCTGCTGGCATCCCCTTGGCTGCCCTCGTGCCCTCTTAGTGTCACACCATGCCACATAGTGCCGTGTAATGCCATGCCATGCCATGCATACCCATGCAGCACCGTGCCTCAGACTAACCTCTTCCTCTTCTCCATGTCTGCTGCTGGCATCCCCTCTGCTGCCCTTGTGCCCTCCTTGATCACCCCCTCCTGCAATTGCGATTCATGCCAGACAATGCCATGCCATGCCATGTGATGCAGCACCATGGCATGCCATATTCCATACCACGGAAGGCCATGCCATACCACATCATACCACTCCACGTACGGCGAGCCATGGATGCAATGTGAGGCAAACACGTGATGCAAGGGGGATAAGCAGGCAGTGTTTGGAGCACTCCAAGACAAGGCACCGCTTTCAAGAAAGGAAGTGCTTAGAAGAACCAAGAGAGTTGCCACAGGGATGACTTAACAAGGTGACTCTTGAGTCGACTCAAAAGCCACTTAACACTCAAGCAGTTGTTTCCAGCTCCTCCAGCCTCCTGCTAGCCTCCAGTGATGTTTTTCTGTTGGATCTAACGAACAACAATCTCATCATTCAACCCCACGCACCTCCAGCAGGTGAAGGTTTCTCCTGTCCTCCTCCCTCCCCTTGCCTGTCAGCTCCGCCTGCTTCCTCTTCTCCACCACCTTCGCCACCTCCTCTCTCCGCACCGCCAGAGTCACTAGGGCCTGCTGGCCCCCCACCACCACCACCCCCTCCTCCACTCCCCCCTTCCCCTTTGACCCTCCAGCCTCGGCCCTGGCCTTCGCGGCTCGGACCGAGCCTGCCACGGAGGCTTGGGCGGCTTCGGGCGTTTCGAAACGGACGAATGCCGAGCCACGGGAACGCCTGGGGAGCATCGGGTGGTGGGGTATAGGATGGCGTAGAGGTGATGTGTGGGAAAATTGGGTTTTCTGTGTTCATGACATGTGTGTATGAGGAATGATGCGGAAATTGACACGTGGCAACCAACAGCACCTGGTAACACAACCACTCACATAAACATGATTACTTCTGCACAACAGGTAAATAGATATCTCACTTTGCAACACAAGCACTCACCTGGTAACCGGGTGCAGCACCACGCAGCAGTCAGCCACCTTCCCAAACACGTACATGCGACCAAAACATGATAACACATCTAACAGGCATGGCAACACAGTAACCCACCTGGTAACCGGGTGCAGCACCACACGGCAGTCAGCCACCTTCCCAAACCGCTCAAACGCCGCTCGAATGCGGTCAGCCGAGGCATCCACCGGAAGGTTCCTCACAAACACCGTCGCTGGTGGTGGCTCTTCCTTGGCTCCAGTCTCTTCCTTCCCTCCCTTCCCTGCCGTTGCTTCTTCCTCTTCGTTCACCTCCCCTTCCTCAGCAGCATCCGTCCCTCCCTCCTTGCCACCACTAGAGTCTTTCTTCTTTCCTGCTGCTGCACTTTCCCCACCACCCTTCTTTCCCTCCCCTGCCTTCCCCACCTTCCCTTTTCTCCCCGCATCCCCTTCCTTCCCAATTTTCACAACGACGCCTTTCACCTTCGCCCCTACATCCTCCCCTGGCTGCCCCTTCTCCTGCTGCCCCTTCCCCAGCTCCACCACACGTGACAGCACACGGAGCATCATGTCCCTCTCATTCCCTTGCGCCGCCCCACTAGTGCCGCCGCCACCCATCTCCATCTCCCAGTCGGCTTCCTCCTCCTCCTCCTCATCTTCATCCGATGTTTCATCCTCGTCCTCCTCCTCGTCCTCCTCTTCGTCTTCTTCCTCTTCCTCTTCCTCCTCATCGTCCTCCTCTTCTTCCTCCTCTCCCTCTCCCTCCTCACTCCCATCCTCATCCTGTTCTTCCTCGCTTTCCGCCTCCTCTTCATCCTCTTCCTCCTCGTCGTCGTCGTCCTCCTCCTCATCCTCCTCTGCTTCCATATCCAATAGCCCATTCACTCTTGCTTCCCTTTCCTCATCGTCCTCTTCTTCTTCCTCCTCCTCGTCCTCCTCCTCTTCCTCCTCCTCTTCCTCCTCCCCCTCCTCCTCCCCCTCCTCGTGCTCTCCCTCCTCCCCCTCATTCATCTCATCGTCTTCATCATCAAACAACATCGACAAGCCATCTGGAATCACAGAGGGTAAAAGCAACAGCAAGGAAGAAGGTAGGGGAGGTGCAAACATCAGAGTGAACTTTCAGCGAGCATCCTTGAATCAAACTAGATCGTAGTGTCCGTGATAGGCATGTGCACTGCGCATGACTTTAACCCCCTCACAGTGCTAGTGACTCACATGCTTTGCAAGGAAAGGCGCATACATGAGTGCATGCAAGTATCCAAGCACACATGATCACAGAGGCTCACACACCCCAACCACACACACACGCACACGCAGACGTGCACGCACGCACATGCTCAGAGACATGTGCACGCACACCTACATGCACACCCACACGCACACGCACCCCCGCCCGCCCGAACGGCAGCCCGCACGCCCACCCGCAAGCCCGCATGCCCGCATGTCTGCTGACACACACGCACGCATACACACACCCCACTGCACTCACCTCTGTTCTCCTTGGCCTTCTCCCTCTCCACACTCTCCATGTGCTCTCTCTTGGCCACCGCCCACCCCACCGACACCGCTCGACCGCAAATGGTGGCGCCATTGACCTTCTGAACTGCCTGTCAGAGGGGCGAGATCGGAAGGAAGGAGAGGGGGATTGTCTGGAAAAGAGTCCGCCGGCAGATGGTCGTGTCAGTGACCTTAAGGATCTCCTGCCAGGATTGGTATTGAATTGTGGGGGAGAATGGGTTTATCCTGTTTTGATATAAAGCTGTGACGGGATGCAGAGTGACCGTTGATGTGGCTGGAGAGCCTTCTGGCCATGGAAGGAACGAACTAAATGGTTGTCTGCGGTTCTCACCTTTGCTGCATCGCTCTTCGTAGTGAATGTGACAAAGGCGAATCCTCGCGGCCTGCCCCACAGTACGGAGGGAGCCAATGGCACACACAGAGGCACACGAAGATGAGAGTGTTTCATAACAGCAAAAGGAGGCCAGGCAGATAGATATCTTGTGTTTCCTGCACATATTTGGTGCAATGGGGTCCTTCCAGACATGGAGTCTCTTCTTTGGCATGCAGCAGCAACATCACGTTTCGCATGTACAGCATTTGCAAAAAATGTGCTGCATCAATAGTGCGTAACGCAAGCTCACAACAGCACGGCAAACCCCTCAAGGTGTCAACTACCTCGCATCCCCCACCTGCCATCCACCCACCTGCCATCCACCCACCTGCCATCCACCCACCTGCCATCCACCCGCCTGCCATCCACCCGCCTGCCATCCACCCGCCTGCCATCCACCCGCCTGCCATCCACCCGCCTGCCATCCACCCGCCTGCCATCCACCCGCCTGCCATCCACCCGCCTGCCATCCACCCGCCTGCCATCCACCCGCCTGCCATCCACCCGCCTGCCATCCACCCGCCTGCCATCCACCCGCCTGCCATCCACCCGCCTGCCATCCACCCGCCTGCCATCCACCCGCCTGCCATCCACCCGCCTGCCATCCACCCGCCTGCCATCCACCCGCCTGCCATCCACCCGCCTGCCATCCACCCGCCTGCCATCCACCCGCCTGCCATCCACCCGCCTGCCATCCACCCGCCTGCCATCCACCCGCCTGCCATCCACCCGCCTGCCATCCACCCGCCTGCCATCCACCCGCCTGCCATCCACCCGCCTGCCATCCACCCGCCTGCCATCCACCCGCCTGCCATCCACCCGCCTGCCATCCACCCGCCTGCCATCCACCCGCCTGCCATCCACCCGCCTGCCATCCACCCGCCTGCCATCCACCCGCCTGCCATCCACCCGCCTGCCATCCACCCGCCTGCCATCCACCCGCCTGCCATCCACCCGCCTGCCATCCACCCGCCTGCCATCCACCCGCCTGCCATCCACCCGCCTGCCATCCACCCGCTTGCCATCCACCCGCCTTCCATCCACCCACCTGCCATCCACCCACCTGCCATCCACCCACCTGCCATCCACCCGCCTGCCATCCACCCGCCTGCCATCCACCCGCCTGCCATCCACCCGCCACCCCCCTGCCATCCACCCGCCTGCCATCCACCCACCTGCCATCCACCCACCTGCCATCCACCCGCCTGCCATCCACCCGCCTGCCATCCACCCGCCTGCCATCCACCCGCCTGCCATCCACCCGCCTGCCATCCACCCGCCTGCCATCCACCCGCCTGCCATCCACCCGCCTGCCATCCACCCGCCTGCCATCCACCCGCCTGCCATCCACCCGCCTTCCATCCACCCGCCTGCCATCCACCCACCTGCCATCCACCCACCTGCCATCCACCCACCTGCCATCCACCCGCCTGCCATCCACCCGCCTGCCATCCACCCGCCTGCCATCCACCCGCCTGCCATCCACCCGCCACCCCCCTGCCATCCACCCGCCTGCCATCCACCCACCTGCCATCCACCCACCTGCCATCCACCCACCTGCTATCCACCCGCCTGCCACCCACCCACCTGCCACCCACCCACCTGCCACCCACCCGCCTGCCATCCACCTGCCTGCCATCCACCCGCCTGCCATCCACCCACCTGCCATCCACCCACCTGCCATCCACCCACCTGCCATCCACCCACCTGCCATCCACCCACCTGCCATCCACCCGCCTGCCATCCACCCGCCTGCCATCCACCCTGCCATCCACCCACCTGCCATCCACCCCCCTGCCATCCACCCGCCTGCCATCCACCCGCCTGCCATCCACCCGCCTGCCGTCCACCCGCCTGCCGTCCACCCGTCTGCCATCCACCCGCCTGCCATCCACCCACCTGCCATCCACCCACCTGCCATCCATCCACCTGCCATCCACCCGCCTGCCACCCACCCGCCTGCCACCCACCCACCTGCCACCCACCCGCCTGCCATCCACCTGCCTGCCATCCACCCGCCTGCCATCCACCCGCCTGCCATCCACCCACCTGCCATCCACCCACCTGCCATCCACCCACCTGCCATCCACCCACCTGCCATCCACCCGCCTGCCATCCACCCGCCACCCCCCTGCCATCCACCCGCCTGCCATCCACCCACCTGCCATCCACCCACCTGCCATCCACCCGCCTGCCATCCACCCGCCTGCCATCCACCCGCCTGCCATCCACCCGCCTGCCATCCACCCGCCTGCCATCCACCCGCCTGCCATCCACCCGCCTGCCATCCACCCGCCTGCCATCCACCCGCCTGCCATCCACCCGCCTGCCATCCACCCGCCTTCCATCCACCCACCTGCCATCCACCCGCCTGCCATCCACCCGCCTGCCATCCACCCGCCTGCCATCCACCCGCCTGCCATCCACCCGCCTGCCATCCACCCGCCACCCCCCTGCCATCCACCCGCCTGCCATCCACCCACCTGCCATCCACCCACCTGCCATCCACCCACCTGCTATCCACCCGCCTGCCACCCACCCACCTGCCACCCACCCACCTGCCACCCACCCGCCTGCCATCCACCTGCCTGCCATCCACCCGCCTGCCATCCACCCACCTGCCATCCACCCACCTGCCATCCACCCACCTGCCATCCACCCACCTGCCATCCACCCACCTGCCATCCACCCGCCTGCCATCCACCCGCCTGCCATCCACCCTGCCATCCACCCACCTGCCATCCACCCCCCTGCCATCCACCCGCCTGCCATCCACCCGCCTGCCATCCACCCGCCTGCCGTCCACCCGCCTGCCGTCCACCCGTCTGCCATCCACCCGCCTGCCATCCACCCACCTGCCATCCACCCACCTGCCATCCACCCACCTGCCATCCACCCGCCTGCCACCCACCCGCCTGCCACCCACCCACCTGCCACCCACCCGCCTGCCATCCACCTGCCTGCCATCCACCCGCCTGCCATCCACCCGCCTGCCATCCACCCACCTGCCATCCACCCACCTGCCATCCACCCACCTGCCATCCACCCACCTGCCATCCACCCGCCTGCCATCCACCCGCCACCCCCCTGCCATCCACCCGCCTGCCATCCACCCACCTGCCATCCACCCACCTGCCATCCACCCGCCTGCCATCCACCCGCCTGCCATCCACCCGCCTGCCATCCACCCGCCTGCCATCCACCCGCCTGCCATCCACCCGCCTGCCATCCACCCGCCTGCCATCCACCCGCCTGCCATCCACCCGCCTGCCATCCACCCGCCTGCCATCCACCCGCCTTCCATCCACCCACCTGCCATCCACCCGCCTGCCATCCACCCGCCTGCCATCCACCCGCCTGCCATCCACCCGCCTGCCATCCACCCGCCTGCCATCCACCCGCCACCCCCCTGCCATCCACCCGCCTGCCATCCACCCACCTGCCATCCACCCACCTGCCATCCACCCACCTGCTATCCACCCGCCTGCCACCCACCCACCTGCCACCCACCCACCTGCCACCCACCCGCCTGCCATCCACCTGCCTGCCATCCACCCGCCTGCCATCCACCCACCTGCCATCCACCCACCTGCCATCCACCCACCTGCCATCCACCCACCTGCCATCCACCCACCTGCCATCCACCCGCCTGCCATCCACCCGCCTGCCATCCACCCTGCCATCCACCCACCTGCCATCCACCCCCCTGCCATCCACCCGCCTGCCATCCACCCGCCTGCCATCCACCCGCCTGCCGTCCACCCGCCTGCCGTCCACCCGTCTGCCATCCACCCGCCTGCCATCCACCCACCTGCCATCCACCCACCTGCCATCCACCCACCTGCCATCCACCCGCCTGCCACCCACCCGCCTGCCACCCACCCACCTGCCACCCACCCGCCTGCCATCCACCTGCCTGCCATCCACCCGCCTGCCATCCACCCGCCTGCCATCCACCCACCTGCCATCCACCCACCTGCCATCCACCCACCTGCCATCCACCCACCTGCCATCCACCCACCTGCCACCCACCCGCCTGCCATCCACCCGCCTGCCATCCACCCACCTGCCATCCACCCGCCTGCCATCCACCCGCCTGCCATCCACCCACCTGCCATCCACCCACCTGCCATCCACCCACCTGCCATCCACCCACCTGCCATCCACCCACCTGCCATCCACCCGCCTGCCATCCACCTGCCTGCCACCCACCCGCCTGCCATCCACCCGCCTGCCATCCACCCGCCTGCCATCCACCCGCCTGCCATCCACCCGCCTGCCATCCACCCACCTGCCATCCACCCACCTGCCATCCACCCGCCTGCCATCCACCCGCCTGCCATCCACCCGCCTGCCATCCACCCGCCTGCCATCCACCCGCCACCCCCCTGCCATCCACCCGCCTGCCATCCACCCACCTGCCATCCACCCACCTGCCATCCACCCACCTGCTATCCACCCGCCTGCCACCCACCCACCTGCCACCCACCCACCTGCCACCCACCCGCCTGCCATCCACCTGCCTGCCATCCAGACATGAGCAATTTAAATCGCATCGCATCGCATCGCATCGCGATTAATCGCGATTTGCGATGGCGATGTATTTTTTTTTTTTTAATTCATCGCGCGATGCGATGATTTATTTATCGCGCGATTTAATTTAAATCGCATTTAAATCGCAGCGGAAAATCGCGATTTAAATGCGATTTGCGATTTAAATTAAATCGCGCGCGATGTCGAAATACATCGCAGCGCGAAATCTCGCCAGCACATAGGGAAAATTTGCAAAGCCCTCCCCACACCATCCAGCTGGCAGCTGCCCTCCCCCCTTCCCCCCCCCCCTCCCCCCCCTTTTGAAACCCATGCACCTATTTTTTTTTAAGCTACGAAAGTCGGGCCCTTACCACGGGGCTCGCATTTGTGTGAAACCCACTCTGAACGGTATTTTTAATCGTCAATGCCCGCACCATCACGTGTTCCAGTTTTCAAAAGTTTTTTTTTTTTTTTGAAAACGTTTACAAATGCGATGCGATTTTATATCGCATCGCGCGATTTAATAAATCATCGCTTGCGATTTTTAAATACATCGCAGGCAAAACGCGATGTGCGATGTATTTTTTTCCAAAAATTAAATCGCGCGATGCGATTTAAAATCGCATCGCAAATTAAATCATCGCACCTGCATGCGATGCGATTTAAATCGCAATCGCATTTTGCCCATGTCTACTGCCATCCACCCGCCTGCCATCCACCCACCTGCCATCCACCCACCTGCCATCCACCCACCTGCCATCCACCCGCCTGCCATCCACCCGCCTGCCATCCACCCACCTGCCATCCACCCACCTGCCACCCACCCACCTGCCATCCACCCACCTGCCATCCACCCACCTGCCATCCACCCACCTGCCATCCACCCCCCTGCCATCCACCCGCCTGCTATCCACCCGCCTGCCACCCACCCGCCTGCCATCCACCCGCCTGCCATCCACCCGCCTGCCATCCACCCGCCTGCCATCCACCCGCCTGCCATCCACCCGCCTGCCATCCACCCACCTGCCATCCACCCACCTGCCATCCACCCACCTGCCATCCACCCACCTGCCATCCACCCGCCTGCCACCCACCCACCTGCCACCCACCCACCTGCCACCCACCCGCCTGCCATCCACCCGCCTGCCATCCACCTGCCTGCCATCCACCCGCCTGCCATCCACCCGCCTGCCATCCACCCACCTGCCATCCACCCACCTGCCATCCATCCACCCACCTGCCATCCACCCACCTGCCATCCACCCGCCTGCCATCCACCCGCCTGCCATCCACCCACCTGCCATCCACCCACCTGCCATCCACCCACCTGCTATCCACCCACCTGCTATCCACCCGCCTGCCACCCACCCACCTGCCATCCACCCACCTGCCATCCACCCGCCTGCCATCCACCCACCTGCCACCCACCCACCTGCCACCCACCCGCCTGCCATCCACCCGCCTGCTATCCACCCGCCTGCCATCCACCCGCCTGCCATCCACCCGCCTGCCATCCACCCGCCTGCCATCCACCCACCTGCCATCCACCCACCTGCCATCCACCCACCTATCCACCCACCTGCCATCCACCCACCTGGCATCCACCCTTCCCTGGAGCCATTGCACCAGACCTCAAAATTCTCCCTCGAGCCATTGCACCAGACCTCAAAATTCTCCCTCGAGCCATTGCACCAGACCTCACCTGCCATCCTCCCTTCCCTCGAGCCATTGCACCAGACCTCACCTGCCATCCTCCCTTCCCTCGAGCCATTGCACCAGACCTCACCTGCCATCCTCCCTTCCCTCGAGCCATTGCACCAGACCTCACCTGCCATCCTCCCTTCCCTCGAGCCATTGCACCAGACCTCACCTGCCATCCTCCCTTCCCTCGAGCCATTGCACCAGACCTCACCTGCCATCCTCCCTTCCCTCGAGCCATTGCACCAGACCTCACCTGCCATCCTCCCCTTGTGGTATCTTGATGGCCCATGGGAAGCCTGCAACAGCGAAGGCCTTTCTCAAATCTCCTTCTGCCACCTGGCATCACGTCATTGGTCCACCGTGTATGGTGCACAGATGCAGGATTCGGCACATGCACATGAAAATGCACATATGCAACAAACAACAGAGCCATGCATGTTAGTGCAGTCACCAAGACATATACACTCATCTCCGTACACACACACGTGATGTGCAGTGCAGGGTATTTTTGGGTATTCTCAAAAATACCCTGCACACACGTGATGTGTAGTGCAGATGCGCACACAAGGCACGGCGCATACAGATAGTGAAGAGCGTTAGGGAAAATGGAGTGCAGATGGATGCAGCTGAATCTCCTGACAAAACAATTGCATGCATGCTTTCGTGCGAGTAAAGAGAGAACGGTCAATACTGGAATGGCCGACGGCTTGAGAGAGTTCAATTTGACAAATGGTAGCAGGCGGAAGGTGAGAGTGAATTGCACTGAAAAGCATACGATTCTCTCAGCGACGCACCTTGAAGGGTAGGTTGCGAACGATCACTCGATTGCTGAGAGTCTTCGAGCCCTGCAATCCCGCATACACATGGTGGGCACGGATGCAATGCAATGCAAGCACGCAAGCACATGTCGGACCATGAATGCATGCAAGGGTGTTTTTTGTAACGAGGTTGAGGGAGACAAGGGCAGGGAGAGTGGTCCCTACAATAACCAGGTTTGCGAAACAATTCGCTAAGAAATTTCCGATGCCTTCCGAGACAAGGTCCAGGCCCAGGGCATCCGTAGCCTGCCTGCCGCTCACCTCGCCTGCCAGATGTGTCTCGCCTACTCAGTGACGCCGTGCTGCGAGCCGATCTCCACCATGCATCTGACTGCATGGGCTGGCAAGGTCCATGCCTGCCTGCCACTCACCTCGCCTGCCAGCTGTCTCGCCCACACAGTGACTCCACCCTCCACCAGACATCCGTGCAGTGTCTCCACTGCCTGGCGGGCGGCGCGCACCGAGGGGAAGACGACGGAGAGGGAAGGAGGGGTGCAACCGTCGAGAGCCAGGCCTGGTGAAGGGAGCGGAAGAAGGGCAAACAGAAGAGAAACTGGTTTAAGTTGAGGCACCTCTCTCATGCCACCTTGCACCCATGCAGCAACTCCACTGCCTGGCGGGCGGCGCGCACCGACGGGAAGATGATCGAGAGGGAAGGAAGGGTGCAGTGCAGCCGTTGAGAGGTAGGCCTACATGGGGGAGGCTGGGGGGGGAGGAAAAGAATGTAAGGAGAGGGAGGGGGGAGGGAGAAGGAAGATGGGAAATGGTTAAGGCGCATCAAAGCACCGATGGGAAGACAACGGAAAGGGCACGGTATTTTTGAGAAGTCTCAAGAATACCCTGCAAACTCAAGGGCACGCGATGGAGAGATAACTTTTGAGTCGACTCAAAAGTCATCAAGGGCACGCGACGCGATGGACCGATAAGAAGAGAATGGAGACGCAGCGCATGCGTGGGAGCAGCTGTCAAGGGCTAGACAAGGCTGAAAAGTGAGACACGACCCCTTGTCTAAATGGTGAGACATCTCAAAACGCGTACATACCACCTCACCTCTGTCCTTCAGCCCATCCTCTGGAAGTGGGTTTGTGACCTCCTCTGGGGCAGCGATGGCACCAGCAGCAGAGAGAACATGCGCCACTGCTGCTGGGGATGCCAACCCTCCAAACACCACCGTGCGGGCTGGCCTGGCAAAGAGAGGAGAGGGAAGTGGCAGAGAGGAAAGGAGAGGAGAGGGATGCAGCAGCACAGAAGATGACAGACTGCAGCACTTCACTGGCTGAGCAGGTCTGAAGGATGTGAAAAGAGGGGAGGAGAGGGGAAGCGGAGTAAGGCAAGAAAAGGGGGGGGACGCCGACTCAAAGGTGGTCCATCAACGTGGTTTAGTCGCATGTTCACATGTTCACATGTGACTCTTCTGCACATTTGAACACATGAACAAATCGCGTTGATAAGTCACCTCTCCTCACCACATTCAGCATGCATGCATGTGTGAAGAGGAAGGGAGGGAGTGGCTCAATGACCCTGCCAAACCACGCTACAGCATTTCAAGATTCCAGACTCAAGTACAGTGAAGTGAGAAATGTGTATCTGCAATGAACAAAACAATAATTGCAAAAGTCTTTTTGTTATGTAACGGATGTCTGGTCCCTTACCTCTGCTTCAACGACGCCCCGCCACTCTCCTTCTTGCTGCCTCCTGGAGACTTCGCAGCGGCGGATGCAGCAGCCGCAGTCTGGGTAGGAGCAGCAGCTGCAGCAGCTGCGGCAGATTGTGCCTTTTTGCCCTTCCTCTCCTTCTTGCTGCTCCCCTCACCTGCCTTGCCTGGTAATGAAGCCGATGCCTTGTAACCACCTCCAGCAGGTGCACTCACAGCAGCAGGAGCAGCAGGGGCAGCAGGGGCGGCAGGGGCAGCAGGAGCGGCAGGGAGAGCAGGAGCAGCGGGAATAGCAGCGGCAGCGGGAATCGAAGGGGCAGCAGAGTAGACAGCAGCTGCTCGGGCAGCAGCACATGCAGCAAACTTGGGGGCAGCAGGAGCAGCCGGTAGGGCAGGGGCAGCAGGGAGGGCAGGCGCGGCAGGTGCAGCGGGAGCAGCAGGAGCAGCAGGAGCAGCAGCAAACGCGGCAGCATCAGAGAAAGTTATTCGAGTGGGTCTGCTCCTCCCCATGGCATCAGCAGTAGCGTTGCTCCTCCCTGCGCCATCAGCAGCACTATTCCTTCCCAAGCCACGCAAGCCCGTCAAGTCGTCCTGGTCCTCCACTTGATGAGCTGAGAGGTAGGAGCACAAAGATGGGATAGAGAGGCAGCAGCAGCTTGAGGGATCGGCACGCCTGATGAGGGACCTGTTGCCCCTGCCATGCAGACTTGTCAAGTCGCCCTGGTCCTCCACATGACGGGCTAAGAGGCGAAGGGAGATGGAATGGGAGCAAGAGGATGGGGGCACACAGAGAGAGGCAGCAGCATGAGGGGCCTTATGACCGTGCAAAGCCATGCAATCCTGTCACCTCGTCCTGGCCCTCCACTTGATGAGCTGAGGGATAGAAGCAAGGGAGATGGGGGCACACAGAGAGGCAGCAGGGGAGGGAGGGACCTGATGAGTCATGACCACATGCGCTGCAATCCTGTCACCTCGTCCTGGCCCTCCACTTGATGAGCTGAGGGATAGAAGCAAGGGAGGTGGGGGCACACAGAGAGGCAGCAGGGGAGGGAGGGACCTGATGAGTCATGACCACATGCGCTGCAATCCTGTCACCTCGTCCTGGCCCTCCACTTGATGAGCTGAGGGATAGAAGCAAGGGAGGTGGGGGCACACAGAGAGGCAGCAGGGGAGGGAGGGACCTGATGAGTCATGACCACATGCGCTGCAATCCTGTCACCTCGTCCTGGCCCTCCACTTGATGAGCTGAGGGATAGAAGCAAGGGAGGTGGGGGCACACAGAGAGGCAGCAGGGGAGGGAGGGACCTGATGAGTCATGACCACATGCGCTGCAATCCTGTCACCTCGTCCTGGCCCTCCACTTGATGAGCTGAGGGATAGAAGCAAGGGAGGTGGGGGCACACAGAGAGGCAGCAGGGGAGGGAGGGACCTGATGAGTCATGACCACATGCGCTGCAATCCTGTCACCTCGTCCTGGCCCTCCACTTGATGGGCTAAGCGATGGGAGCAGAAAGATGGAAGCAAGAATTCAACCAAAAGCGGGCAAAGGTGAAGGAATGCGTGTGGAGCCTTGGGAGATTGAAGGAGCAATTAAAGAAGAAAGCAACTAACCTTGGAGTAGCTGTGGCTCCTTTCGACAAGGCATGGAGAGACTCAGCCGTTCATGTGGCGTGCCAGCGGCCTCTTGGAAGGAACCCAGACACGCAGCAAACACTCAATCTTACCCTCTCCCTTCCCTCCACCTTCCTTTCTCAGCCGGTTCCGTCCCCTGCCCCTTCTCCTCAGTCTATTTCCCTTCGCCCCCTTCTCCTCCCCTTCCTTCCCTTCACCTTTCTCCTCATCTTGCTCTCTCGGGCCTCTATTCGCCAGTCCCTCGCCCAGAGAGGCTCTCCTCTTCGCCAGCTCCACTGCTAGAGTTCTGCCCTCCAGGCGGATTCCCCCAAGCTCCCTCGCTACTCTCACTCACCTTCCTTCCTCTGCTCCTCTTGCTCACCTTGCTCCCTGGGGCCTCTCTTCGCCAGTCTCTCGCCCAGAGAGGCTCTCTTCTTGGCCAGCTCCACAGCCAACGGTCTGCCTTCCAGGCGCTTTCCCCCGAGCTCCCTCACTGCCCTCTCGGCGTCCTCTGCCAGTGCACTGATGTGCAAAGAGGGGCGGGGGAAAGGGGAGGAGGGAGGTCAGTGAGCAAGAGGAGAGGGACGGGAGGAAGAGAAAAGAAAGCAGTGCAAGAGGTCTGCCCTCCAGTCACCTCCCCCCAAGATCCTGCACCGCCCTCTCCGCATCTCAGCCAGTGCGCTGATGAGCAAAGAGGGGAGTGATGGAGAAGAGGGAAGGGAAGGGGGGAGTGTAAGATAAAGAAATGATCGCAAGATGCCTGCCCTACCAGCGCCTTCCACAATCTCCCTGACCGCCCCGCTGTAGCCTATGGGTGGTGAGGGGGCGAGAGGAGACGAGGAGGGGAGGAGGGGAGACGAGGGAAGCATAATAAAAGCCCGGGGGGCAGAAAGGGGTTAGGCGCCTCCCATCAATCTCCCACACTGCCCTTTCTACATCATCTGCCAGTGCGCTGACGTGGAAAGAGGGGAGGGGAGAGGCACGAGGGGGAGGGGAGGAAGGGAGAAGGAGAATCGAGGAGTGGGCATTTTGGATTATGACAGAAACGACAAATGGCAGAAACTGGTGTGGTGTGTGCAGAAGAATCGATGGCAGACACCTGTGCCACAGCATGAACGGAGACCAGAGTGGTATCGGAGTGGTGTGAATTGAAGAATAGACAGTTATCATTGATAGTCGACGGGCTGCTAAGGAAGGAAGGAAGGAAGGCAAAAAGTGGCAAAAGAAAAGCTTCCATCAAATGGCATGCATGCATGAAGTCAGAAGCAGATGTGTCAAATGGCATGCATGCATGAATTCCGAAGCAGATGCGTCAAATGGCATGCATGCATGAATTCCGAAGCAGATGCGTCAAATGGCATGCATGCACGAATTCCGAAGCAGATGCGTCAAATGGCATGCATGCATGAATTCAAAAGCAGATGCGTCAAATGGCATGCATGCATGAAGTCAGAAGCAGATGCGTCAAATGGCATGCATGCATGAATTCCGAAGAAGATGCGTCAAATGGCATGCATGCACGAATTCCGAAGCAGATGCGTCAAATGGCATGCATGCATGAATTCAAAAGCAGATGCGTGTACAAAGACCACAAGAAAGGAAAGCGAGCTTTACTCACAATTGGACGAATCCCATTCCTCGATGCGTTTCTGCGCCTGCGGAAATCGAGAAGAACGAAAATCAACAGCAACAAGACAAGAGTGAGTGGCTTTATGTCAACCGCAACGCATCTGCGCTGACACGATCAAAACTCATCTCTCCTCTTCAATTCCAAGGAGTGCAAACTTAAGTGCCTCATTGCAAGCTGCCATGTCTCACTCAAGGAGTTTAAGAAACAAATTAGAAAACTTAGTGCAGTATGTTACATGGACATCATACTAAACAAGCTTATGCCACAGTCAAACAGTCCCACCATGGAATGCAATGGATGCCAACCAATCACAGCCATGTCATGCAGAACATACACAGCCAGGACCGCTTACGGCCCTGGCATGGCATACCTCATGAATCCAGGGACTCTAAGAAAACGTTCAGCATGCCCAGGTTCCCTAAACCTTAAACCCTGAACCAAGACCTGTTCCCCCCCGCTGCATTCGCTGACACTGCTTATCAATACATGGCAGCTGATGATCATGAGCCTGAAACACTCCACCACACCTGTCCAAGGAACAGGAACTCATGCGCCGGCACCTCTTCACTCCCACTACAAACCACAAACCTGCTCAGGGTTCAGGGTATAAGTGTTGCTGCCACGCGTTCTTAACCTGCCGTCTGTAACACGGTACGACCCTTAAACCACATTCCCTTGTTTAGCTTGCCATAGGGCACTCAAAATAGCGACGCAATGTTGCTCGTGTCGATAGGATAAAGGGACCAACCTTTCTGCCCAACAAGAAAGCACTTTCGGATGGGGCCAACGGTGGAGAAGAATGACTCGAGCTGCAGGGGGATGGTGGGACGGAGGAGAGCAGGGCGAAGGCAAGCAGAGGGACGCGGGAGCACAGGGGTGGGTGGAACACGGGGACGAGGAGAAGAGAGGCGCAGAGGCGCATGGGGAACATGGAGGGAAGTTAGAGGCAAGAATTTAGGGGTTTGGGATTTTGGGGTTTGGTCAGCCACACTGCCAATGCACCGAGCGGGCTTTGAAGAGAAACCACATCTTCGGCCCTATCGAACCCGCAATAACGGGCATGCGTAGGGATAAACCCTGAATATCTAAACCCTTGAGAGCGCGAGCAGGAAATAAGCGGCTGGAGCAGAGCCATCGCGCAGTTGCTTTCACAAACTCGCGTCGCTCTGACCGCTCTGACTGCCTTTTAACGCGCATCGCTCTGACTGCCTTCTATCAACGCGCGTCGCTCTGCCTGCCTTTAAACGCACATCGCTCTGAGTGGCTTTAAACGATACGTTGCGCACAAACACCGTGTTCCGATCAACGTCACTTCTCCCCGCCGCTTCCCCCGCTGCTGCCTCCTCCCCGCGCCCATCCCCTCCTGCTGCAACCCGTCCCCCATCCGCGCCTGCACCCTTCCGCCCGCCATCTGCTCCCCCATCCCCTCTACCACCCGTTGCGCCAGTTTCCTGTCCTCCGCCATCCCCGTCGCGCCCCTCTTCCGCAGTTCCCCCTCCTCCCCGCGCTTCTGGCACTCCGCCCGCTCCGCCTCTCTTCCGCCCCGATTTCACCTTCCCTGCGAGGCGGGTGGCGGCGGGAGGAGCAGCCATGGTGGCGACAAAACTAGAGGCCGATTCTGGTGGCTCGCGGAAGACAATTCAGAAAACCAACTGTTCCGCTGCGGCTGAAACGTGGCAAGACCGAGTGTCCCCAAACCCTAGGTACGCTTTGGTTACGTTCCGCGCTGGGGGCAAACTTCGGGGCAGGCCCTGGAAGGAAGGATTCTCACAGGCTTCAGGGAGTATACGAAGACGTCGTCTGGGGATGCCTAGGAAGGTTTTAGTTAGTTACCACCAGGCCTCTGGATAGGATTCGAAGTACTCGTTCTCAAAGCAAGGATCTCAAGAAGTGCGAAACCAAATCCAAAAGGTTTGGTTTTGGGTTGACGAAATTAGCGAAACACTGACATCGCCCAACCAGCATCCCTCACCACACCTCGCAATTTTCGAGACCTCCCGAAACCAAAACCTTTGGGTTTGGTTTTTTGCTTCTCGAGACCCTCGCCTTAAAGCGCGTGGCCCAAGAAAGACCATGATTCAAAGTCTTTGATTCTTGGTCGGGCTAACGAAATTCGCCAAGGTACAGCGAAACAGAAAATGAAACGGGAGTTGGACGAAAGGACCAGGCGTCGCCAGCGAGGGCAGAGCGACGCATGGCGACGAGAGAAAGCAGGGAGTGGGAGCACGGACGCGGGCGTGTTCAAAAAACGAAACAAACGTCCCTCAAATTGATATCGGGCTCGACGGACCAGCCATGTAAGGCATAAACCGCGTACGAAAAACACCCATTTCCCGAAACCAGGATTGAGACGGAACAGCCTCGAGCGCGTCCTGCCCTGAACCTGCTCTGACCGTGTAACACTTTGTACGGATAATACGCTAATCTTATAACACTGAAATTTCCCTATCCCAGTGCGTGGTATAACAACGCAACAAAGTAGGAATGAAACAATATAATATTTTAGCAGCACCCAGATCACAACACGCTGTGTCGAGTAGTATGCAAAACACAGGAATAACAAAAACCAAGGTGTTTAGTTTTAGGGCGTATATAGACAATATTCATTTGCACGCCGAGGACAGCCCTAAGGTCCTGCCCCCTGACTCGGCAGCCTTTCCCTTTACAGTCACAAGGTGAGGGGGGAAAGAAGGCGAGAAGGTGGGGGGAAGGTAAGCAAGGGGCGTGATGAAAACGGGGGGAGGATGAGACGGGCGAGGGGAAAGAGACGGGGAGCTGAGGGGAGAAGAGGCAGAGGAGAGGCAGAGGAGGGCGGATAGAGAGGGGGAGCTGGGGCTGTGGGAGCCAGGGTCTGGAATGAACACCAGGAGATGCCACAGGGGTTCCCCCCTGCGACGGGGAAAGAGCGGGGCAGCTGAGGGGATAGAGAGGGGACCTGGGTGGAACGAGGGGGTGCTGAGGGGTATGGACTCACAACGGTTAAGAGAGGGGGCGCTGAGAGGAAAGACAGAGGGAAACGGAGGGAGGACTGGGGAAAAGGGAGAGACGGACAAGGGGGGAAGGGAGAGGAGGATAGGGTGAAACGGAGAGGAGGACAGGGGGAAAGGGAGGGGGAAACAGAGAGGAGGACAGGGGGAAAGGGAGAGGAGGATAGGGTGAAACGGAGAGGAGGACAGGGGGAAAGGGAGAGGAGGACAGGGGGAAAGAGAGAAGAGGATAGGGGAGAACAAGTGGAAACTCTGGGGAGGCTGGAGGAAAAGGGAGGGAGAGCAGAGGGGAAAGAGTAGGGGAGCAGAGGGGAAAGAGAGGGGGAGCTGAAGGGAATGAGAAGGGAAACTGGGGGGAAGGAGGGGGATCCAAGACGGGTAGAGCGGGAGAGGAGGAGACTGCTCGCTATTCCCTCATACCAGCGCCTATCCATTCCTCCCCCCCGCGCCTATCCATCGCTTCACGGCGGACTAGGAAAGAGCGAAAGGAAAGGAACGTGGAGGAGAGGGGGAAAGAGAATTGCCCTGGGAAGAGAAGCGCGAAGGGAGAGGGAGCGTGCGACGGAGGTGAGAGATGCGACGCGACCTTGCGTCAGTGACGGGAGAGAGAGTATCGATGGCGTAACAGGAATCGACGGGAGGGTGAGTAAGCGCGCTTCCCCCGCGATTAGGGCTCGGGGTTCGAGAGTGATGGGAACCCACCGTTGCTCGCAGAACCGTCGAGACCCGATATAAGGGGGTGTCCGCTGCGCTGCTGCTATGCGCTGTCGCCTCTTCTCCCAACGCCTATCTTATATGGTGCTGCCAATTATCGGAGGCCATTCAGTGTTTTCACTGCTAGATCCCTAAACTAGCTCGACTCTAGTCATTATTGGCTACGCTGGTGGAAAGCTTCCACGCGCCCTGCTGGCGCCATGGATGGTAGTCCCAAGAAACCAGACAATATGGATCTTGGTTTTGCCTGGTGAGTAAGTTTGTGGAGTAGGGGACTCGCTCGTCGTCGCACGCTCTGGTGTGGGAAAGAGCTTAGCCAATCCCTTCACGTCGTAGGAGGATTCCACCCTTTCGCAGAGTTTTTGTGGTAACCCTGTATATTTTGGTTGGTTTGGCGAAGGATCAAGACTCAGAGTCTTTGATTCTTGGTCTTTCTTGGGCCACGCGCTTTAAGGTAATCGAACGCTGCCACTTTTTTCAGCAATGGTAGAATTTGGAGCTACTTTTTAATATAAAGGGTCCTCAAAAGCTTGACTTTTCTTCAGAAGGGTGAAACTTAAAGCGAGAGGTTATAATAGTGACCCATCTTTCTAGTTGGGCCCAACTTGATTGGGACTCTCGAACAGATATAGGGGGGACGAGCGAGCGGGCAGAAGAAAACGTCGTTTCGGGGCGGGCAGTCACTCAGCAGCAAAAGCACCTGCCCGCGCGACAAATTCGGATATGTGGACAGGGTTCTGTTTATAACCATAATACTAGCTAGCTCGCCTCGTTGGGGCTCAATTGTAACCGTATTTTTTCGGCCTCGATTGGTTGCGGTTCAGTCAAACTCAAAAGGGTGGACACGCAATGGGAAATGTGTGGTTGGCTGGTGGTCGAAGTAAACACGCCTTGATTTGGTAGCTCTAGGTGGGGGGAAATTTCGACCAATCAGAAAACCAGTTGTGTTCTTGCATGAGTAGTGAACCCGGGTCCAACTTGAAAATCAAGTTGGGTCCACTTGGAGAATGACGAGGCAATGGGGTCGCACAAGTACCTGCGACCTGTGACAGCTCGCAAACCCTGTCCTACAAATTTCCCAGCCAATCGTGTGCTCGCGCTTGTTCGCTCTGAACAGCGCGGTTGCGTTATGGAACTGCCCTGGTTCTGCCGAGTAAGGCTGACAACCCCTTAGAAAAAATCGAGGGTCCCTTGGTTTCAAGTTGGAACCGCCTCCACTATTTTAGCCCCTCGCTTTAATTGCAGCGTTACACTAACGCGGCAGCATCCCGCGTGGGGAGGCTTGAGGGCTCGTTTACCCTTTGTCACAAGTTGGGCAGTTTGGCGCACCAGGGGTTTGTATATGCGATATTACATTGAACGACCCCAGCCAGACGACTGGACTTGGTCGCACCCTTTGTTGCGACGTTCTAAGTGTTGCTCCATGTACAGTTCCAGGGCATAGAGCTCGCTCGTAAAATCACAGGGTTGCACAATCGGAGCTTTTGCTTGCTGGGGCCCACACCATTGGTTGCGAAGTGGGCAGTGTAACCGTTCACTGGTGGGACAGATGGTTGTTTGTGCAGATTTGTCGTGTTGACGAACCGACATGACGACTCGCCCTAGGCCTCTCTGGGGTCTCGACAGGGTGCACCAAGATTGTTCTTCGCTAGGCGCTGAGGTGGGTAGGGGGAGGGGAGAATTGCAGGGCGAAATGTGACGTGTCACTTGCTGGGCTTTCTTTTGGTCCCCTCACTCAAGGGCGCCAGTAGCTATGTGCCCAAGCCTGACTGGACTTCCAAATTCTATGGGTTGCGAGGGTTGCCAAAATTTTAGGGTTGCGAGGATGCAGGGAGGAATAACTTTTGCGGTGGGAGACTTAGACACATTGGTGGTTTGCGAGGGATGTGGGAGGAATAACTCTGGGTTTGGGGGACTTAGCCAAAACGTTTAGGTTGGGAAGGGGGACATTTACTGTAGCGGGGGATCGGAGGTGTGATTGTATAAGGGTGAACCTCCACAATACCTTTCCACATAAGGGTGCCTACACCCGAGCACTCTTGAAAATCAGGGTCCTAAACCTTGTTAATTTTTTTTCATAAGGGTGAAGAAACACATCACTTTTAAAAATAAGGGTCCAAGCCTACCCTACCCTTATAATAAGGGTTATAAGGGTATTTTACCCTTATAAACAGAGGCCTGGTTACCACCATGTAACAACTACTCTACACGTACTGTCAGCGCTCAAAGCTTAGGGCGCGGAACCTTCGAGTCGTAAGTTCAATTACGATAAGAATTTTGAGAGCATTACTGATTTCGCCAACCTCGTCACACAATTTCGCATGTCGTCGAAATCCCTCCACACAATTCGTAACGGGATTGGAACATGCAGAATGAACACTGTTGTTCGAACGGCCAGCAGTGTCGCCAGACCAGCAGTGCACAAATAGCAGGTGCGAAAAGCTGTGTCAGCACAGCAACACTCGTCACCGCCAACCCCCGCCAACAGTTCAAGCACACACCATCGAGAGAGTAATGGCAATGAGTCATCTGGGACCTGTTCGCCAGCCCAGCTGAAAGAGGAGAATGCGAGCCTTCGTCAGGCATGTGGTGTGACGCGTCAGGATTCGCCTATTACTGTGGACAAAGATCGTGCGAGCGCACATAAATCGCAGGCGACATCGTGACGACAGTTAGAGCGAGCGATGGGCAGTTATGAAGATCAAACCTACCATGCTCCTGCTGTTCAACCCACTGGAGAAGCATACCATGCTGACTGGGTGGCTATTTGCCATGGAACTGTTCTTCAATGCCGCTGATGTCAACGATGATGAGACATGCGTCAAGTTGGCGGTGTCTTTATTACGCGGACCTGTATTAAGTTGGTGGCGACAGTATATGACGTCACGAGGGGCTCCGGCAGACCGACAACATGCGATGGACGGGGAGCAACGATTGGCTTCAACCTCGACAGGATCCTTATTTGGTGTGGCCGAGATCCTTACCTGGTAACAGTGGGGTGCACTGCTTCGCAAGCGCTTCGAGCATGTATCCGCATTCGAAAACGCTCATGTGAAGCTGCATGGGTGGCGTCAAATGGGTTCTGTGATGGAGTACACGTCATCCTTTCTCGCCATCTGCGACGAAACCGACGAACTACATGAGACTAAAAAAATGAGTCGATAAATCATAGGGCTGAAGCCGGAGGTCCAGCACGAAATTCGCATGCACCACCCGGCGACATTCTTGGAGGTGCAGCATATCGCAGAGGCGTGGGACGAGAACAGTGTATGGCCGAGGACGAATTTATGGGAGGGAAGTCATTTTCGAGGGAAAAACATCCATCAACGGCGTGGCGGCACTGTCAGACAACAGATTTTCTGGCAGGTGTTATAAGTGTTGCCAGCCGGGACACATCATGCGGGACTGTCCGGGGTAGCAAAAATCGGGAGCTAACGACGGAAGGAAGCCGAGAAATGGGCAGCATCAGTAGCAGTCGGGCCCCCTACTGATAAGGCTTCGTTGCACAAAGATCACCATTCCCATCGAGTAGTAGTGCCGATCTATGCAATCAACCACACCCGGTTAAAAGGGAGTGGACCTGTTGACTGCCCTATGTTGATGGAAGGGCGCGTTGGCAATACAAGATTAAAAATATTTGTGCATGTAGGGGCATGACACAGTCTGTTCGATGTGGCAAGAGGGAAGAAGCTGCAAGTGCAAATGGAGAGGTGCATGCCCAAGATTGATGCGAGGTTGGTCGACGGTACGCCACTTGCAATCCGGGAGCGGGTGAAACACGTTCGCATTGATTGCGATTGCCAAGTCAGTTTTGCCATGAACATGCTGGCGACAACGTTGGACGGATGCGATGTGATCCTGGGGCGCGATTGGCGAAGTAGAAATCCCCCGATCCTTAGTCAACACTGGTAAACACTGTGACTATCAAGCGTGTGATGGCACGTGGCATGGACGTCTACGTCGTCCGATGGATCGCATCAATGAAAGTGGCCAAACAAACCGACCTGGACAAGCTGTGTGCTGTTGTACCTGAAGACCTGGTGAAGATCATGCGCAAGTTCGAGAATATATTTCCAGATAACCTACCACCCAGCCTGCCATCCAAACGACCACACGATTACAGGATTGAGCTGAGTCAACCAGGAGCGCAACTGACCGCACGATCGCAACGGAGGCTGAGTCAACCAGAGCCGATGGAGCTGTGCGTGCAACTGGATAATCTGCTGGAGAAAAAAATCATCCGCCCATCCACATCACCCTACGCCATGCTGATTCTCTTCCGTCCCAAAAAGGAAAGAAGGCTTCGAATGTGTACCGACTATCGCACCCTCAACAACATCACCATCAAGTCGCGTTACCCGATTCCACGAGCCGACGATCTCATCAACCAATTTCGCGAGGCCAGGATTTTTTCCAAGATTGATCTACGAGGCGGTTACCACCAGATTAGAGTCGTCGAAGCTGATATTCCAAAGACTGCATTTCGAACCCGTTACGGAAGTTAGAAGTATACAGTGATGCCGTTTGGGTTGACGAACGCCCTCAACATTTCAAGTAACCATGAACGAAGTCTTCCGCTCGCTAATGGACAAGTGCATCATCGTTTACCTGGACGAAATCCTGGTGTACAGCACCACTCGAGAACAACATTTGAAGGAACTGGAAGCAGTATTTACCCTCTGTGATTGACACCAACTCATCACCAAGGGCTCTAAGTGCGAGTTCTTAAAAGCGGAGCTGGAGTTCCTGGGCCAAGTCATTTCCACTGACAGTGTTAAAATCAACTGGAAAAAAATTGCTAAGATTTGCAACTGGGAGCCGCCTACTAATATGAACGAGTTACAGAGTTTTATAGGGTTTGTCCATTACGTGCGTTGTTTTATCCCTAAAATGGCGGAGTCAACTGCCCCGCTGACCGACTTGCTGCAGAAGGGATTTTTTGTAGTGAGGGGAGAGGCAGCAAGCTGCGTTTGACCAACTAAAGACTTTCCTCACAACACCACCCGTTCTTCGTATCGCCGACTCCGACCGCCCGTACAAACTGATTACGGACGCCAGCGATATCGCCGTTGGTGCGGTAAACAGGGGGCAAAGAATATTGCCGATGCCCTTTCTCGCCCTACAGCCCATACCTCTGCCGTACTAATCGCCCAAGCCCCTCCGCTACTAACTAGACTGTTTACCCACAGCTATACTACTGACCCCCTTTTCACCTCTAATGG